CAGCTGAAATTGGTAAGATAAAATTTAAATGGGGTACATGTAAACTGCATTTTAGTTTTTCATAAAAAGTTGTCAGAACAGATCAGAATACCTAGGTTGGTGCTTATGTTTATCAAAAGGGTCAAAGTATCTCTGATCACAGTTTTAGTATGATAATATGAGGTAGTGGCCAATAAATCTAGTATAATAATCTTAGACTGTATTAGAAGAACTATGGAGCCCACAGTATAAAACACCTGTTTTTGTTCAGACCTTATCTGATATTCAGGTTTGAATGACACATTTTAAAAGAACCTTTGACAAACAAGTACATTAAGAGAATAGTGTAAGAAATAATAAGAGACGTGGACAATCTCATAATCAGTTAAAAGAGCCTGATATATTGTACACTAGAAGAAAAGAATAAGAGAAAATAGGATATCTATATTCATAATATTTGAAGATCTATTACATTCAATAGAGTATGTTTTGTATTATCCTGAGGTTGCAACGAAAAAGAATTTTATTTATCTTAGCAAAAGCCTTCCTTTTCCTTTTTATTTATTTATTTTGACAAGTAAACATGGCTGGCTTTGTTTTTCTATCAAGTGTTAAAAAGTATCTATTGTAAAATTTTCAAAAATTATGTATAAATACAAAAAGTATTGATCACCCATGATCTCAATGCCCAGAGAAAACTGACTAATCAGGCCTGGCTAGCTAATGTGTGAGGCCCACTGCAAAATGAAAATTAAATCTCCTTGTTCAAAAATTAAAGACTTTTGTCAGGCATGGTGGCATACACCTGTAATCCCAGCTACTTAAGATGCTGAATCAGGAAAATTGCAAGTTTGAGGTCAGTATGGTGAAACTTAGTAAGACCCTGTCTCATAAAATAAAATATGCAGGAGTTGTAGCTCAGTAGTAGAACTCCCCTTGGGCTCAATCCCCAGTACCACACACACAAAAAAAAATTAAGAATTTCAGGACAGTAACAACAGAGCATTAAGCCATGTACAAGGTCCTTCTCAGCACTGGGTCCTATGCATAAATCATAAGCCCTAGAAGTTATCATATTTTGATATATAAATATTTCCGTATTTTTGAAAGGACTTTCTAATTAATAGAAATGCTCACCAGTGTCATAGGCTGCCTTGGGAGATGTAAAGTCTGGAGTTACTCAAGGATAAAGCTAAACTTTCTGTCAGGGATGCTGTAGAAGAAATGAATGTGATGAAGGTTGGATTACATGACCTGTTGGCATATTTTTTTTCTCCAAAGTCTACAGTTCTTTATCCAGCCTAAAAAATGGTGCTTGAACAATAATCATTGTTTGTAAAAAAAAAAAAAAGGTGCCAAATATTTTAAGAAACATAGAACCTGTATTTTTGTTATGTTTCTGTGACATTTAATAAAAAGTATTTCACATCAATTATGGGGGTGAGTTTCCTCAAGAAGGTGGTGGTTTTAGTCAGATTTTGTGTCTCTGATCAAAATACCTGTCAAGGATAAATTAAAGGAGGGAAGGTTTATTTGGGGGCTACAGTTTCAGAGGTCTTGGTCCTTTGACTCAATTGCTCTGGGCCCAAAATGAGGCAAAGCATTATGGGGGAAGAGTCCAGTGGAGGAAAGCTACTTAGCTTATGGCAGGGTTAGGAAGCAGAGAGGGGTGGGTGGAAGGGGCCATAGGGAGATGCACCCTTTCAGGACATGTCCCCATGACACACCTTCTCCAGCCCAACTGCCTACAGTTACCATTCAAACTAGGATGGCGTGATTAGGTTATAGCTCTCATAATCTAATCACGTTGCTTCTTAATATTCCTGTGTTAACACAGGAGCTTTTGGAGGACCCCTCATATTCCAGTCATAACAGTGGGTGTCACTTGTATGGCAAGATGCTACCAAAGCTTCATAGACCTTTACCAGGATCTAGAGCATTGATTGCTACCTTACTTAGTTATAGTCAAAGGCTGATTTTAATTGATATTTTTAAAATCTCTTGTTCTGTTATGCAGTGGACAGACAGTATCTATACTCTTCCCAATTCAGTATAGCCATAGGATTTCCCAGGTGCAGGCTGGTTCGTGACCTTGAATAATCAGGTTGTTAGATGATAAACCTCTCTGTATATGGAAAAGCAGCCCAAAGTTGTCTGCTTATCTTCTTGTACTTTTATAACAATATTGGCACATATTAATTCCTGAATGACTTGCAGAGACTTGATGATGATTACAGCTTAATGAGCTGGAAGTGTTCCCTGAGTGACTGTAATTGTATTCTTATGCTAGCTTCCAAATTATTTGTTGCATAGTTTATATTAACTGCCTACTTTCATGCACTTACAAAAACTGAACATTTTCCTTTTTTACATAGTATAATGCCCATATAATCTTGTAAACATTTCTGCTGCAAAAAAATGGCCTTTCTTGCCAGTGATTTTGACCACCTTATCCTCAGTCTCAAAACTTATCAGAGTACTAATTGTTATATCACTCAGGAATGATTCCATGCCTCTTCTTTCTTTCCGCTGTCTCCTCACACTTCCACACTGCCACTGTTATCTTTCACCTGAGCCAAATTTTTATTTACCCCCTTTGTTTTTTCTCCTATTCTTCTAATACTACTTTTTACAGTATGTGTGAATACAGAAATAGGTGTGAGCTAGTTTTGTTACAAATCTTGTAAAATAAATAAATAAATGGTTTTCCTTATAAATTTGAAATTTTCTTTTTGAAACCTTTTTTTAGAATTTAAATTCTTGGAAGAGAAAATTATCAACAGCTAAAACTGTCCAGCTTTAATTTGAAATTATAATTCCTTTATATTGACAATTTTGTCTATATATTTATATACACATTTATTTATACACACTTGGTTCTATTTTTCAACCTGGAGACATTTACCTCTTTTAGCTTTCTTTCATCATCACTCTTTTATCTTACTTTTTAATGTTTTCACTCTCTTGCCTTCTTGTTGAGAACATTCTCCTTTTCTCCATTTCTTGACACTCCATTCCAAACACTTTCTCTTAGGACACTGTCCATATATGTTAAGTCCCATTTGTCTTTTCCTTGATCAAATCTCCAGTTTCTCTCAGTCACTACTTAACCACTGAAAGTGATAAGGTTATATTTCCTTTTATCCCCAAATCCTTCAATAATTCTCTCATTATTAATTGAAGTATCATCATTTCCTCTGTCCTGCCTCCTCATTCCTGTTTTCTCTTCCCCAAATCTTCCTTTTCTATAATACTTGTTTGGGTCTTCTGATTTCTGTTTTATAAACAAAATTTTCAGTTCATAATTTCACTTTCTTTTTTTCTTTTCTTTTTGCAGCGCTGAGGATTCAACCCAGGGCCTTCTGTATGCTGGGCCAGAGCTATAGCATTGAGCTACATCTCCAGCCCATATCCTAACTTTTTATTATCACATAACTTCTTTTCTATATCATCTATATGTTGCCATTTCAAGTGTTTTCTCTCTTGATACTTTGTCCCATTCTCAAAATACTCTGTCAGATTTCTAACTCATAGTATGCTATATTTGTGACCCATTTTCACTTTTAAAAAAATCTATTCCTATATCCACTCTTTCTGATCTTTTTAGCTGAGCCAAATTTCCCTTTATCTCTTTGTTTATCTTCGAATCCTGTAATTTACTTTCCTCTATGCTTATAATAACTTTCTATCTCACATCTATCAACCTACATATATTCTCATTTAAAGTTTACTTGAAATCTTAACTCTGCTTAAGTGGGAAAAGAGCCCAAAGCCTGATTTATATATTTTTTCAAAAATCTGTATGCTAAATTAAAGGGAAATACCTCATGGAGTAAAATCAAAATCCAAAAATCAAAGCTTCTGGGAAAGAAAGTAGATTTAATGAGTCAAGGCCATCCCATTGATACAGTTAAGTGAACAAACTATGTCCTTATTGTGCCCAGCATATGTTGAAAGTTAAGGATACAGACTCAGAGGTAGAAAACATGGTTATTGTCCCCAGACCTAATAATCTAGATAAGGAGAAACAAATAATTATACATGAAACATTTAGAAAGTAGTTGTAATAACCAGTCTAATTACCTAATGCTAGGTTGTATAGTGTGGAACTGAAGTGTTATAAGTGTTCAGAGAAAAGGAAAGCATTAGTGCTTGGGGTTGCTAATGAAGATTTCATGTGGGAAGTGTGTCTTAAAGAAAATATAGAATTTGGATTAGCTGTACTTGAATAGAAGAATTTTGTTAGCATTACTTAGTAAAAAGATAATTGTTTAGCAAAGACCCTAGGGGGGAAATTAGCTATTAGTTTAAGAAAATATCAAACTTTGTTCTAGGAAGTAGCAGGAAATATAATTAGATAATTAAAGTTGGACTAATTGAGTAAGAGCCTTGAATTCCAAATAGAGGAATTACAAAATGTTAAAAAGAAAATCCCTTCATTAAAGTATTGTTAATCAAGGTTTTGTCTTATTTAAATATTTAAGATTTTCTTAAATAATAATACATTTAACTAATATTGAGTGCTTTGCTGTGTGCTAAGCATTGTCCTAAGTGCTTTATATGTAATAATTCACTTAATCTTTACAGCAACCATTTATGGTAGGTTTTCTTTACTCTCCTTATTTTATAAATGTGGATAAATGCAGGTACTCAAGTGGACACAAGTGACAGAGGCAGGATTCATATACAGGTAGTCCGTGGTGCCCAATTTTATATTCTTACCTATTATACAAACAACCTTGTGGAGGAGGTGTATATAAATGCTGCAGATACATTATGAGAATTGGACAATTGAACTGAACTTACTCGCTAATTGAAAGATATTTTTCTCAAACACTACTCATATTAGAACATGATAATCTTTTCATCCCAAATATATTTTTTTCTTTAAAAACATTATTAAAAGGCTCTTTGGGCTAGAAAAGTTGAAAAACAAATTCATTAGTTTTGTCACATGAAGTGGTATTGATTTTATTTGTCTCTTGGAAAGTTTAGTTTCAGCAATCTTTCTATTACAACAGGGCTTCTGGTTGGGACTCTTGATTCAGTCTTGGACTCTACTGCTAAAGTAGCTCCATTTCGCATCTTACACCAGACACCAGATTCTCAAGTTTACTTGTCAATTGCATGTGGTGAGTATGATTTTTAAAATGTATTACTCAAATTGAGTAAGGATACTAAAAAAACTGAATGTTCAAATTTATTTCTACTCCTCAATTGTTTTGAGATTTAGAAATTAGTTAAATGTGCAAATCTGCTTTGGGAGAGTATTAAGATCTCTGTTTATTTAAGGATAAGAGAATACTAGGAATTTTTAAATCTAGTGATGTTAATCCCCAGCACTGCAAAAAGGAAAAAAAAAAAATCGAGTGATGTAAGAAACTAGAAGCATGTTATCCAACAGTGCTGATTCTGAGCAGATTTTGGTCAGTACTACTGCTGGATGATTCATTTTTTCAAGTTATTTCTGCTTCATTCAACTGTTAGAAAGAAGGAACCTTCCCTGTGAAATATTTATTTCATATATTTCATTTCTAATAACTCAAATGAGGAAAATGTGAAGTTAAATGTGATCCCAAAACTTAAAGCTTGTCCCATAAAGAAGTAGAAGACTGAAAAATTGAACCTTTTTTTTTTATTCATACACCTACTTTCTCAAAAAAGGCACCATATCCTTAAAATGTGAATATTCTTTCCTGCTACATATTCTTTCATGCTGGGGTAGTTCAGATGTTTCCACATGTATATTGTGGGTAGGAAAGGAATTGTGATAATTCTTTTTAATAAAACAAGTCAAAATAAGTTTTTAAATACCCACAGTGACAGTTTGTTCTTGTTTTTTGATGCTATTGTATTGCTGGTCCAAATTAGAATCTCAGATTTCTAGATTTATGGCCTTTTTATGTTGAAGTACTGCCTTTTTTCTTTTTCTCTTTTACTCTTCTCTTCTAATATAGATATACTTTTAAAAAGCAAAAGATATGAATTTCTAGACATGTCATATGTATGAATATACAACGTATAATTAATTTTTGTCTCCTGGTTCTTTTAAATTGAATGCCAGTTGAACTAAATAATGAGGACATTACAAAAATTCTATAACCTCAACTCTAAATCTGATTGGTTGAAATTATTTAGAAACAAATGTCCTTTCTACTTAAAAAAAATAAAGGATGATTATATAACATTCTCCCAAGTTAAGCTGATGCAGAAATATAGTAATTACCTGTGAGTGAGCTTTCATGTACATAAAAGATCAAAATAAAGGCTTTAAAATTTCCTCATGGCTCTTATTTATAGATCATTTCTTGGTATGGCAACTTTAGTAACATGATTGCAATTCTAACTGAATTTTAGAAAATAAACAATTTGGCAGTTTCAATAACTATTTTAATGTGTCAGTCTCCATATATTATAAAATTTTCTAGTTGGGTGTGGGTGCATGCCTCTAATCCCAATGATGCAGGAGGTTTAGATAGGAGGATCGCAAGTTTGAGACCAGACTTAGCAACTTAGTGAGGCCCTAAGCAACTAAGCAAGGCCCTGTTTCAAAATAAAAAATAAAAAGGACTGGGGATGTAGCTCAGTGGTAAAGCACCCCTGGGTTCAATCCCTAAAACAAAAAATAATATTCTAAGAGGTCAAGATACTTCTTTTTAAATGATAGTTGTATTATCCTTGATTCTGGGAAGACCTTAAAGGTAGATGGGGGTAAGGGGAGACTGATAGACATTGCTAAAGCAATTTAGAACTAATATTTAATCTGATTTTCAATAAACCACCTAATACTGATTCAGTAAGTCACATGCATTTAACCTTGCTACAGGTTTTCTAACCTCATTCATGAAATTGCTGTAAGTGTACTAAGTTATTTAACATATGGGGTAACTGAACAGAGGTTTCATAAATTGAGTGGCCACAGTTGAAATCCACATTTACACAGCGTTCCTAGGATCATCATATGCATGCTGTTTTCAGCCATACAGATGGGCAACATAATGCTAGTTGTGTTATTTGAAGATCAAGGATTAAATTATGTATGTATATTTTCTGGTATTTTACATGTCCTCAAAAGATAATATGCATCAGTTATGTTATATTGTTTACAGAATTTTATATCTTTTTTGTGTGAGCTATAATTAATTTTTCCCCTTTCATTATATATTATATTATTTCTATTTATAATGATAAATATATTCATGCCCACATATGAAGAGGAAATAGAATTAATGTAATACCTTTATTCATTTATGACTATCATTTCTGAAAGTGAGCAGATACATTCCTTTTAAAGTAAGCTTGTAAATATCAACAGCCATTTTGTTGTGACTTCCCTTGAGTCATATTCTCTTATGTTATTATTCAGGAGCCAACAGAGAAGAAATAACCCAGCATTGGGATTGGTTGGAACAAAATATCATGAAGACCTTATCTGTGTTTGATTCAAATGAAGATATTACTAATTTTGTACAAGGAAAGATACGAGTAAGTGGTATAGATACATTTTGTAAATGGAATACTAAAACCTTTGACCATCTTTTATGAGGATCAGAAGTTATATGGAAGATCATTCTTTTTTTGTATTTTTTATTTAGAGACAGAGTCTCACTGAGTTTTTTAAGGCCTTGCTTACTTGCTGAGGCTGGCTTTGGACTCGTAATCCTCTTGCCTCAGCCTCTGGAGCTGCTTAGATTCTAGGCATGTGCCACCATGCTCAGCTGGAAGGTCATTCTTTTACTAGCACTTTTCAGGATTGGTAGAACCACACATATGATTGCCAGAATAATGCTTAGGAAAACTAAAGCTGAGCTGGAGGTATACCTCAGTGGTAGAGTGCTTGCTAGCCTAGTATAAGGCCCTGGATTCCATTCCCAGCACCACCAGAAAAGAGAGAGGGAATATTAATTGTAAAGCCAGTGGTTTGTCATTGGTGCCCATGTAAGTATTTTTAGTGATATTTTCATTTCAATGTCTCTTGAGTTTAGAGTTTGAGTAAAACCTTTGTTCAAAAGAAAATGAAAACATTTAATACTTTTTTTGTGGTAGCTTCTTGAGGCATTAGAAAAATCCTAGTACAAAAAAAAAAAAAAATTCTGCTTGCCTCTGCCCTAAGGAAAAAAAATATATATATATATAAAATATAAACATATATATTTTAAAAATTCTGCTTACCACTATCCTAAAAGAAATTTTATATATATATAGTGTGTGTGTATGTGTGTGTGTGTGTGTGTGTGTATAACATTGTATGTAACTATATGTATATGTAACAGGTGTATTCAATCAAACATATAAAGTTTATTTTTGTACATGATGATGAATTTTTAAGAAAATATTTTGTCTCCTCTAGGGATTAATTGCTGAAGAGGGAAAACATTCTTTTGCAAAAGAAGATGATCCTGAGAAATTTCGAGAAGCCCTTTTGAAGTTTGAAAAATCTTTTGGTTTACCAGAACAGGAGAAATTAGTGACCTATTATTCATGTAGTTATTGGAAAGGACGGGTTCCTTGTCAGGGTTGGCTCTATCTTAGTACCAATTTTCTGAGCTTCTATTCTTTTTTGTTGGGATCAGAAAGTAAGTGGTTTCTGTTGATTATCACGGTTTTGAATTTGCTGGCTGACCTATTAACTCTGTGGTGGTGTTAGGTTATATAAAAAGTAATGAGATTGACATTAAAGGTAATTAAACTGTACATCAAAAAGTTCTCTTCATCAAGAGAAAGAATCCTTATAGGACTGGTTGCTTAATATAGGAAGCTTTTAGAAGTGTTTATAGAAAGCTTCACATATTGTGAGAAGTGAATGAATAGTAAATCATGATGGCAATCTGGGATCATTATAACTACTTTCTTTCCCTTGTTATAAATTACCTGCTTGCTTCATTCCATGTTTTAATCCTTGTTTTAAACATACAATATGAATCCAGTATCCATTGTACTTAATGACCCACCCCTCACTTTGTAGCCCCAATAAAAATCAAACAGTACTGTGTATAGTATATGTACAGCTTTTACATCAGGGATTATATAATTAAGTAATTATATAAAGAAGCATTGAAATATCAAATCAGAAGCATTTTAATTCTTTAAAATTATGTTACTAGAATCACCAATTATTGCATAATCATGGTGATGTTTCAAGTTTTTAACTAATCTTGAACTCAAATATTTTAGCTGTTCATAGCATTTTTCAAGTGGTTATTATTTGAAAAGACCTGATTTATGAGCATAAGTTAATATTGAGAATTTAATCATGCCTACTTACAATTCTTATTTTCAGTAAAACTCATTATCTCCTGGGATGCAGTCTCAAAACTTGAAAAGACTTCAAATGTTATACTGACAGAGAGTATTCATGTATGTTCTCAAGGGGAGAATCACTACTTTTCAATGTTTTTGCACATTAACCAAACCTATCTTCTTATGGAACAACTGGCAAACTATGCCATAAAGAGACTTTTCGATAAGGAAACATTTGATAATGACCCAATCCTTGATGATCCTCTACAAATTACCAAAAGGTATTCAAGGCTTAATATTTGTTTCTTTAAGTATTGTTTGTAAGAATAGTAGCATTGATTAGCATTAAAAGTTGACTGTTATATTATAATTTTGATTTGGAGTTGATCATAGATATGTTTTTGTATGAGTTTATTCATATGCATTTTCACAAATTATTTCATTCTCTGTGAAATTTAATCCAAATAAGGAATAGAAGTTAGTTTTTGAAATTTAGACAGGATTTTTCTGGACTGTTTCAGAAATGTAGAAATTTGTGTGTATGTGATTAGTCCAACTCCAAATTTCTCTGTGAGGAGTTTAGATGATTTCAGGTCTGAAATTGGTTGTTAAACTTATTGTTTATTTTTTTAAATAACTATTTTTATATTATAGACAGCATAATATTTTCGTAGTACTGGAATTGAACACAGGACATGCTAGGCAAGCCTTCTACCACTACATCTTCAGCCCTTTTAAAATTTTTCTTTTGAGAGTCTCACTAACTTGTCCAACCTGACCTCCAACTTGTGATCCTCCTGCCTCAACTTTCCAAGTTGAGAGTGCAAATGTGTGCCACCACAGCTAGCCCAATAGCATGATTTTTTTTTTTTTTTAATGAAGAGGCAAATTAATGTAGCTAGTGGTGTATGGGCTTTAGTATAAAAATAGAGCAATTCTTAGATAAGTCATACACTTAGGATCTCAGTTTTTTCATCTTGTCTTTTCTATCTTAGAGGGCACTTATGTGGAATGAATTAAACATTTGTGAAAACACTTTATAAAATAAAAAACAATAGGTAAATAATAATCATTATCACTGCCTAAATCAGAAGTATCTGACATATAGCTATTTGCCAGTAGATTCAGTTTGCTGATACTGAATAGAGCCCTTTCATTCCTGCTCAATACTCAAACAGTTGACTGGAAGAATCTTGCCAAAGCGTAGGAGGAAGGGAGAGGTTCAAGAAATAGCTTGTGCAACCATTTTCTAGAAAGGAAGATGAAGGTAGTCTGTATGGGAAAGAATAAGAGTAACCTGAGCCAAAGTTATATGTATACATCAGAATATCCCTAATCAAGTACAGTTGTTTCTTTTGAATATTTCTAAACCATTACTAAAATCTAGATGCATAAGGATTTCTTTGTAAGACTGCTTGCCTTTCTGGAAATTAGATTAGAGGTGAATTTTTTAATACCTTATTGCCAAAATTAGGTCTCAGTGTACATGATTTATAAATAGTACTCTATAGGATTAAGAGTCCTATTCATGTTATATTTTAGTTGGACATTTGCTTTTTAGTTTTTTCCTTGATTGGCTGCTATAAATGATCTTTTTAGCCATTTTGTTTCCCTTGAAACTTTCTATAGAAGGTCTTCTATTAATAAATTATTCATTACCAATTTGTATTAAATAAGCTATAGTAAAATCCATTTTGTCTGTGTATTTTTAAGAACCTATTGAAGAGCTGGGGTTGTAGCTCAGTGGTAGAGCACTTGCCTACCATGTGTGAGGCACTGAGTTTGATCCTTAGCAACAAGAAAAAATAAATTTAAAAAAAGTTATTGTGTCCATCTAAAACTAAAAAAAAAAAAAAAACTAAAAAAAAGAACCTATTGAAAACCTTATATATCTAAATCTTTATTTCTAGAAAGTCGAAAAGAACAATAACTGATAGCTATAGTCTCCAAATCACTTTTTCTAAAATGGAATGTCTTTACTGACTCTGTTTATTATTTTTACAAATATGTATTACTTCTATAATTAATCGTTTTATTATTGTGATTCTGAGGATTGAACCCAGGGCCTCACACATGGTAGGCAAGACCTCTACCACTGAGCTATATCACCAGGGACTACTTCTATAATTTTAACAATACAGAAGCATAATAATATTTCTTAGTGTGTATCCATCCAGTCCTTAATATATATATTTAGTTAGTTTTAGGAGGATACAATATCTTTATTTTATTTTTAAGTGATGCTGAGGATTGAACCCAGTGCCTCATGCATGCTAGGCAAGCACTCTACCACTGAGCCACAACCCCAGACCCATCCATCCAGTCCTTTTAACGCATTATTTTTTTTAAACACAATACCTTTATTTTATTTACGTGTTGTTGAGGATCAAACCCAGTGCCTCGCACATGCTAGGCGAGCGCTCTACTGTTGAGCCACAACCCCAGCCCCAAATGCATTATTTTTTTAATTTGAAAAAAAATATATGAATGGGACTGAACATGACATAGTTTTTTCTCTTACTATAATATGTCACAAACACCTTTCTGTTCATATAAATGGACCACAATCATTCTTTTAAATAATAGTGAAGTAACCTGTCAAATTACAATTTACATAAGGTAAAAATTAACATGGTTCCTGGTCATATTTGTCAAGATTATTTTGAAGACATGTTAAAATACCACATTCAAATAGTATATGTGGGAAGGATGAATTTAGTTTTAACTGGGTTGGATTTGAGTTAGAACTTTCATAATTTACTTATTACTCCAGATGGCATTACTGCTTAGCACAAGTATTTAGTGCCCCTAGGAAAATTATACTATTGAAAGCAATTGCTTTTTTATTTATATATTTATGTATCAGTTAACAAGTCATTTGTATTTATTAACTCCTATTCTGTGCACAACCCTATACAAGCAATGTTGTTTTAGCCTGCCTCTATTTGGGGTATTTTTAAACATTGGTTTAAATTTTCATTTCACTTAATTTCAGTACTCTCTTATGGACTGTTCTTACTCTCTAAATATTTTTTTTTGTGGGGGGGAGGTACTGGGGATTGAACTCAGGGGCACTCAACCACTGAGCCACATCCCCAGTCCTGTTTTGTATTTTATTTAGAGACAGGGTCTCATTGAGTTGCTTAGTGTCTCGCCATTGCTAAGGCTGGCTTTGAACTCGTAATCCTCCTGTTTCAGCCTCCCAAGCCACTGGGATTACAGGTGTTCGCCACCACACCCAGCTTCCTCTCTAAATTTTGATGCCATAAATTTTCTTTTGTTTGAAATGGGTAACTCTTGATTTTCTGATGACCAAATATGTAAATTATTGTCTGCTGAGAATGGTTTTAGTCAAGTTGCATATTATGAATATATAATAATATAATGATAGTCTTCCAGCAAATCACTCTACAATAGATGTGTTTAAGACTTGTGCACATTTCAACCTTCTAATAAAGTAAATTATAAAAAATAAGAAGTGAAATGCATTTGTTAGGAATCATACTTTTTTCCATTTCAGAATTCATTGAAGAATACAGCATTTTGTATTTAATCTGTCTGCTTTGTTTTATTTTTATTTTTAGTACTGGGGAATGAAGTCAGGGGTGCTTCACCACTGAACTACATCCCCAGCCCTTTATATTTATTTATTTTTATTTTGAGAAAGGGTCTCAGTAAGTTGCTTAGGGTCTTTCTAAATTTCTGAGGCTAACCTTGAAGTTGTGATCCTCCTGCCTAGGCCTCCCAAATTGCTGGGATTACAGGCATGCACTACTGCACCTGGCTACTCTGTCTCATGTACAGTGTATTTAAATTAATCAATACAGGCATGTCATATACTTTAGAATTATCATTTGAGCCACTCTCCCCCTTTTGTTTCTTTCTTACAGGGGTTTGGAAAACAGAGCCCACAGTGAGCAATTTAATGCCTTTTTCAGGCTGCCCAAAGAGGAGACTTTGAAAGAAGTACATGAATGTTTGTTATGGGTACCATTCAGCCACTTCAATACTCATGGAAAAATGTGCATCTCAGAAAATTATATCTGCTTTGCTAGCCAGGATGGCAATCTATGTAGCGTAATCATTCCTTTACGAGAGGTAACGTTAATTTGGTTACATATCAATTTTTAGTTTGCAAAATGTCATGTAATAACAAAAATTAATAGAAACTCAAAATGCAAAACCTTTTAGTAATTTAAAATAATCATTTTCTGTGTTCAGTATTATTCTTCAGGCTAAAATTACTAGCTTTTGAGATATTCTCAATTCCTTTTAGTAACACCTTATACTTATTACTGAAAGTAAAACTAGAAAAACAAATTAAAACCACAAATGGGCTTGAACATTCAGATATTTAAAACATGAATATCAAAATTTAGAATGTCACATTTGATGAACTTGCTCAGAAAGAATAGAATTGATGGCTTTTATGTAAGTCAGAAATAAATTTTCAGTGTTCGGCAGTGAATAATTTTCATTATTATTACCAATCTTAAAGGCCACGCGTTACTTAAACCTCTTCTTTGAGAATGAATTAACTTGCACTGAGGTTAATTATATCATTTATGCAACTAGTCCCTTCCTTCCTCCCTCCCTCCCGTGATTGAACAAAGTCTGTTTCTTAGTAGATTGTACCATGGACTAAAACTTTTAGCCACAAAAGAGTAAGCCAAACACATTTTATCTGAAGGTATCACCAGTAAGGGGAAAATGTGAATCTCTTATTTATCTTTTCACTCCCCTCCAGGTCTTAGCAATAGATAAGACAGATGATTCCAGTAAATCTGTCATCATTAGCATCAAAGGAAAAACAGCATTTCGCTTCAATGAAGTTAAAGACTTTGAGCAACTGGTGGCAAAACTCAGCCTCAAGTGTCGGGCAGCTTCAACTCAGTATATTAGCACAGAGGTAATTAATATAGCAATTAAATAATTTTGGAAAGAAATCATTATGTTTCATATGTTCTTTTCTTTCAGAAGAAATTCATAGTACCTTTACTATTCATACCTATGTTTATTTTTTTTCAAGACTGAATCTAGAAACTCATACTTTTAAAAATATTATTGGATCTTTCTACTGTATTTGCTGTTTTTCATAGAAACACACCTTCTATCTTTACATAATTTGTTTTTAATGTATCTATTAATTTTTTGTAGTTGTAGACAGAAGTATGCCTTTTTTTTTATGTGGTGCTAAGGATCAAATTCAGTGCCTCACCCATGCCAGACAACTGCTCTGCCATTGAGCTACAGCCCCAGCCCTCATAATTTTTTTTTGAACAACTCATGCTACACTGGAGAATTCAACAAGGCCTTGAAAAATGATCTTTCTCTTATTGCTGCAGAGATCTCAATTTTAAACCAGTCTGAATATCTTTTATATTTTAACTAGCACATTTGCCTCATTTACATAATCTAGCCCAAAGCAAAATAGTGGCATATCCCTTTACTTGCAAACTATTAGAGCAGACAAATATTCTTGGCAAAGAGTGGTTAAGAGCCTGATTTTGATGTTTAGTATGTTCATGGAAATGTGGACAGATTGAATTCAGATGAATTTTTTTCAGTTCCCAGAAACGTCATGTCTTAATAATTTGATAAAGCTTAGCAAATTGTAACTGTTTATATTTTAATTAAAGATTCAGAGAAAAAAATTAATATTGGCTTTGCTCGTTATATTTTATTTGGACTGAAATATAGAGCCTTTTCCCACTTTCTGCAGTACAAGCTGAAAATAATATCCTAAGTTAATTATAATGCAGTATTGATAAGACTAAATTTCCCTTTGAAAAACCACAATGAAAAAAATATAATTTAAGAAATATATATCATCTCAGTTGCAGACACAGAATCTGTATTTTGGCTGTCAGGAGGTTTTCTTGCCCGACTTTCTCTCTCACTCTTTTAGTATGTACCCAAAATATTTCTTAGTTTTATGTGAAAACACAAGTAAAATCTGATCAGTTTGGTAGTTTTTCTCCCTGCGCTACCACTGCCCAATATTGTCCTTGTCTTATTTCAGATAGTCTTTATGTTAGATCCAATGTTCTACTTATGTTTCCATTTCCTTTAATTTATCTGCCTCCCCAGAACCTAGAGAACTGGAATTTTCCCCTGACAACTCATGTGTCTCTAGTAGCTGAGTATGCTCAGTTGTCAAAAAAGGATTTTGTTTCAAAATATGTTTACCATCTTTCCAGATATGTCAGAATTATAAGGTTTTCTATTTTTTTCTTGCCCATTTTTAGAGGTTTTATAAAGATGTGTACAAAATACCAATCAGTACACTGATTTGCTTGGAATTATCTCTTTTGTGGGGAGAGGGGTACCGGGAATTGAACTCAGGGACACTTGGCCACTGAGCCACATCTCCAGCCCTATTTTGTATTTTAAACTTACTGAGTTGCATAGCACCCTGCTTTTTTGCTGAGGCTGGCTTTGAACTCGCTATCCTCCTGCCTCAGCCTCCTGAGCCACTGCCACCATGCCCTGCGAAATATATCTTTTTTTTAAATATTTTTTTTAGTTGTTGATGGACCTTTATTTCATTTATTTACTTATATGTGGTGCTGAGAATTGAACCCAGTGCCTCACACATGCTAGGCAGGTGCTCTACCACTGAGCCAAAACCCTAGCCTGAAATATATCTTTTAATTGTCCTAATATTCTTTTTTCACTGAAGATTTTTTCATAGCAATGACGAGAAATATTGACTATTTTAATATTGTCTCTATACATCTAGCTTTATCAATAGTATATTTTAAATATTAGTGAAGGAAAGCTTTTTAAAACAAGAACTATTTCTATTTGATTTCTAAATAAAAGAAATTGTAGCTCTATTATTTTAGAGTTACACCCAGTTTACTGAAACAAAAGAGTGCATTTTATAATTTTAACAAACCTGGTTAAATTTTATAAGAAACATTAGACTTTTAAATCTTAATCTCAAAGAATTTAAATAAAATAAAAACATGAATGTAGGAAGGAAGTTAGAAATTTCTTCCTATGAGTACATCAAAGATGTGGTACAAAGAACAAATGCTCCCAGAAGTAATTGGGATTATGCATAAACTCAGTTCTGTCCAAATTTGAAATAGGTATCAACTAAAATGTTCCATTTTTATGAGTTATGATAAAACCTGGATGCATAAACAGGTTTTGTAAAATTCTAATCAAGTGTTTAAAAGATATTTTAATCTTTTATTTTTTATGTGAGAGGGGGGTACTGGAGATTGAATCCATAGCTTGCACATGCCAAGCAAGCACTTTACCACTGACTATATCCCAACCCCACTGCTTTTTTTTTTTTTTTTTGAGACAGGGTCTCCAAAATTGCCCTATCTGGCCTCAAACTTGAAATCCTCTTGCCTCAGCCTCCCAAGTAGCCAGAAATACAGTCATGTGTCACCACACTTGACTGATCTCTTACTTTTACTGGCATATATAATTAAGGAATATTATTGGATAATTTTTCAAAACTATGAGATGAAGAAGTATGGGCTTCTTTAACTTAGTTTTTGACAAACTGACCTAAGAATAGAAAGCACTGTTGAAGATCTCTTACTTGAGGCTTTTATTTTTTTTTTATATTTATTTTTTAGTTATAGGTGGACACAATACCTTTATTTTTATGTGGTGCTGAGGATCAAACCCAGTGCCTCACACATGCTAGGCGAGCACTCTACCTCTGAGCCACAACCCCAGCCCCTGCTTGATGCTTTTAAACTGCATTACAAGTAATCGTAGGAACTATGGAATGTCAAGAAAGGTTAGAAAACGCATTTATGTCTTAAAGTGTTTAGATAGGCAAATAAATACCTTCTACAGATTATCCAAGCATATGCAAATGTGTTTATTTTATTACTTATCATAACCAGCATTATCCCAGTTTCTAAGTTTTTAATTAGAAGTAATATGCTCCAGGAACATTCATTCTACTTGATAGAAGGAGGTATTTCCTGATTCTAAAATGAGGAGTTTTTTGTAATTTTAATATTTATTTTTTAGTTTTTTTCAGTGGACACAACATCTTTGTTTATATGTGGTGCTGAGGATCGAACCCGGGCTGCACACATGCCAGGCGAGCGCGCTACCACTTGAGCCACATCCCCAGCCCTAAAATGAGGAGTTTTAAGTTATAAAAAACCAGTAGTGGTTTCCTTATTCTATGTAATCAGATAGGAATAGTAGTTTAACTCACATAACTAATTTTTGTTTTCCTTTATAAGAATAAGGTAATGTGTTTCCTGTAACTATAATATAAATTAGAAATAGATACTGTAGCTGTGGGAAGTAATAGATTTATTTCTAGGGTAGGAAACCAGAAAGATTTTTAGAAATAAAATTAGCATCCCATTTTCAATTATGGATTATGAATGGGAATTTATTTAAGATAAGCTTCTAATATTTGAGAAAAGTGGGGGGTTGTATATTTTTGTCTTAATTTTTGTTTTTTCAGGTTAACTCTGGATCCAATCATCATTGTGCCAAGTTTATGAGATAGTCTAATTTAAATCTGATATTTTGTAGTAAGTTTACACATAAATATTAATCTGCCCTATCTTTCCTTTACTGTTAGAGGCATATGCTACTTCTAAACTCTGTCATACACCAAAAATCAAACAGGTTTAAGAATATCTGCCATAAAATTAGCAACCTCTGTTACTTTCTTGCTGTGACTCAGTTTTGCTGAGGCAATAAATGTTTGATGAGCGTGAAGATTATTCCAGTCAGAGTTACAAGAACCTAAATAAACAGATATATAGAATTGGTCTGGATGGATATGAGGTAAAATCTTCCATTCAGAAGAGCCAGAGCAAAAAAATAAATGTTTAAAAAAATAAGCTTTATTCCTTAAACAGTCTATTAAACTCTTTAAATAATTTTAAGTATGAGGGCTAGGGTGTAGCTCAGTGGTAGAGAGCTTGTCTAGCATTCATTAGGCTCTGGGTTCAATCCCTAGTAACTCAAAGATAATAATATGTCAAGTATGAAGTTGTTTTAAGCCACATCTTTGAAGGTGAATATGTTAATTTGATTTTTGAATACTTAGGAGATAATTATGGATACAACGAGCATATTTGTCATCACTCTTATAAATTTATGTGTAGGGTTTCATCACTTAAGAGATTATTTGCTTTTCCTTCTTACACATTTTCCCTGTAGTTTGGATATACTACCAATAGATAATTGGTGCCTCAGTCATATAATGTACCTTGCTTGGGATCTAGACTAAAACTATGAATTTGTCAACATGTATTTGCAACATTTAATTCCTCAATAAAACAGCTAATTTTAATCTTAGGAAGTAAGTTTGTGATGCAGCAAAACAGGTTTTTTTTTTTTTAAAGGCAACTGTTGTAGTTTGTGCCCTATAATGATTAATCACTAATTTTCCATTATTAGGCTCTTCTGCCATACCCTTGTATTCATTCAGACATTGATTTGAATCGGCCTTTGTAACTTTACCTAGATCCTATCTTAATGTCCAACCCTCCTGGGTCTATTACTGACTTTTCTTGGTTTTAAGCTAAAATGCCACTGGACCGTTCTACTAAGCTGCCACTTTTCCTCCACCTCAATCATGGGCAGTCTTTTCATTTTGCTTAAACTACTAAAGTTTGAGTGATGACCTTGGTAAGCCTTTTTAAGTACCCCTACTAGGAACTCAAGACTTCTGGTATAGTTAATCCACAGAATTTGAGTAATTTTAAAATTACAACTTTGATGATCAGAAAATTCATCTAGAAATGCAAGGGTCTCAAAGAGGACTCACATGCTTTTCATTTTAAAACTTACTATACAACCCTAGTAAACTGTGATACTGGCAAAAGGATAGACATATAGATCACTGTAATAAAAATTGAAAGTCTAGAAGTTATGATCACTTAATTTTTCACAAGGATGGCAAATCAATTCACAGAGGGAAAGTATATTCATTTTTTTTTTTAAAAAAAACAGGGATTGAAACCAGGGGCACTTTACCACTGAGCTACATTCCCAGCCCTTTTTATTTTTCATTTTGAGACATAATCTCATTAAGTTGCTTAGAGTCTTGCTAAATTGTTTAGGATGACTTCAAACTTGTGATCTTCCTGCCTCAGCCTCCCAAATTGCTAGGATTACAGGCATGTGCCACCACACCCTGCTTAGTGTGTAGTCTTTTCAACAGACAGTGGTGGGACCGTGGATATCAAGATACTACATATTAACTCAAAACACACCAGACCTACATTAAAGAGCTGAAACTATAAAACTTGCCAGGTAAACATAGAAGTAAATCTTTATGCCTGTGAATTAGGCAGTTATTTCCTAATTGACAAGATTATGACAAAAGAAAAATGGGTAAATTTGAATACATAAAAAATAAGGACTTTTGTGCTACAAATGATAGTATCAACACAAAAAAAGTTCACAGGATGGGAGAAAATATTTGGACGTTTTATGTCTGATAAGGGATTTCTATGCAGAACATATAAACATCTCTTACACTTCAATAGTAAAAGGTAAACAACACACTTTCTAAAAATATGGAAAAGGGATTTCAATAGCTATTTGTTCAAAGAATATAAATGACCAACAAACACATGAAAGGGTTTTCAGTATCATTAGTCATTAGAGCAATGCAAGACAAAACCATAATGGAATAACATTTCATACTCATCAGAGTGAGTATAATTAAAAAGCCAGATAATAACTGTTGAGGAGGATGTGAAGAAATTGAAAACTTCATACATTGTTGGGAGTATAAAATGGTACAGCCACGTTGGACTACAGTTAAGCAATTCCTCAAAATGTTGAGTGTAGAGTTACCATATGACACAGTAATTTTACTTCTAGATTATCTGCCCAAGAGAACTGCAAATAAATGTTCACCCTAATATTTGCTCATGGATGTTTTTAGCTGGATTATTCACAATTACCAAAAAAGTGTAAAAAAGCCATCAAATGATGAATAAAGGAATAAAATATGACATACAGTAGAATATCATTTGGCAATAACAAATGAAATACTGATACATACTATAATATGAATGAACCTTGAAATAAGTTCAAAGAAGTAATACACAAAAGACTACATATTATATTATTCCATTTATATGAAAAGTCCAGAATAGGTAAATTTATACTGACAGATTAGTTATATAGAACCTGGAATGGGGGGAAGGTCATGGGGGAGGGACTGCAGAGGGCTAGGGGATTTATTTTAGGGGTGATGATATCATAATAAACTTAAGATTGTGATGATGGTTGCACAACCCTGAATATATTAGAACCACTGACTTTATGCCATAAATGCATCAATTTTGTTATGTTATTTGTATCTTAATTCAGATGCTAAACTAATGAAAATAGCTTTAAAGAATCTTTGTCAACATATTTAGCTTAAGAAAGGGAGAAACACCTTTAAAAAAACATGAAGTTTTGGGCTGGGGTTGTGGCTCAGTGGTAAAGTGCTTGCCTAGCATGTGCAAGGCACTGGGTTTGATCCTCAGCACCACATAAAAACAAATAAATAAAGATATTGTGTCCAATTGCAATTAATTAATATGATATTAGTAGAGAAGTTAAATTTTACTAAGTATGTTGGTAAAGGTTCCTGAAAGCTTTTCTAAGGAAAAGCATCAAATTAATCCTCTGGAACCCTACTACAGTTAGATGGGACTTAAAAAAGTGCATTAATGCAAAAACTGGAAAAGCTCTTTTACCTTGTTTTCTTCCATCTTTGTGTAAAGGTATAATTCAAACTTCAGAAATTTTACAAATTAACCTTAGCTTTCATTTCTTGCTTTCAGAGATGGCTAGAGTTGAGTAACTGGGATCTTCTCTTGTATAGCTTCTTTCCTTGGGTCACTTGCAGCTCTGCATATGTGTGCATGCTTCTAGATCCCTAAGAATTTGTTGAAACTTTTCAGCATTCCATATGGTCATCTGGTTCTCCATTTCTTCCTTTAAAATCTTCAGCCAGGCTTTTGTTTGCCCCAACTGAAATAACAGCCTTAAGCAATTATGATGTTACAAGAAGATTGCTGTTGTTTTCTATAATGCCCTAGAAACAGGCTTTTTTTTTTTTTTAACTTAGCAAAGCTGTGAATCAAATGATAACATCTTGCAGGTGGAGATTTTCCAGGGAGCTACTAGTTTGGTTTAAACATTGACTGTGCTATGGGATAGGGATGGGGTTTTTAATGATGATCCTAGAGTTTCACTAGCTATCATAGTGCCAGTTTTCATGCCTATCATATTTCCAAGTTTGGGAGGGAGAGAAGATAGGAATGGCCTCAAGTTAAAACCCCACAGACTGCTGTTCTTACTGAGACACTTTAGTTTTCTGTTTGTTTTTGTTTATGGTGCTGGGGATCAAATCGAGGGTCTTTGGCTGGGGTTGTGGCTCAGTGGGAGAGCATTTGCCTAACATTTGTGAGGCACTGGGTTCTATTCTCAGCATCACATAAAAAAATTAATTAATTAGGCCTGGAGATATAACTCAGTTGGTAGAGTGCTTGCCTCATATGTGCAAGGCTCTGGGTTCAGTCCCCAGCACCGCAAATAATAATAATAATAATAATAATAATAATAATAATAATAATAATTGATTAATTTAAAAATAAACTTTTAAAAAAATTCAGCGTTTTATGTGTTAGGCAAGAACTCTACCACTGAGCAGTATCCCCAACCCTCATTGGTTTTCTTGAATAGATGCTTTTCAATACATTCTGTGCCTTTGGTTAATTTCTGGTGTTTTCGGCGGGGGGGAGGTTGTTTGTTTTGTTTTTGATACTAAGGCTTGAACCCAAGGATGCTTAACCATTAAGCCATTTTTTGTTTTATTTTTAGGCAAGGTCTTGCTAAGTTGTTTAGGGCCTCATTAATTTGCTGAGAGTGGCTTTGAACTTGCAATCTTCCTGCCTCATCCTCTCAAGCTGCTAGGATTTAGGCACAAGCCTCCATGCCCACCTAATTTCTGGTGTTCTGAAATGATTTATTTTGAATGTTTTGCCAGTATTTTGTTGCTTGTTGGGTAATGGTTTCACTGAGGTTTTGAGTTTGTTTTTCCTGAAGTCAGTTTGTTGATATCTCTAATTCTGATAGGAAAGCAATGTTTCTCTGAGACATTGCCATAATATTTAATATGTACATAGATTGTAGTTTATAAATGACAGATAAAACCTTAGCAGTTTTTTTTCTTTCAGAAACTTTTAAGCATGCATTTGTTACAATTACATTCTTTCTTTGTTTTTCAGGGTGCTATTGGTTCTGACTCTACAGAACCATCTGATAATTTTGAGATGCGATCTTCAACATGTACAAAAGAATGCAGTAAAACTGTGAACACCGAAGCCTTAATGACAGTATTTCACCCTCAAAATTTGGAGACTCTTAATTCTAAAATGGTAGGAAAATAAACTATTTAAATCTATGAACTGGAATCTTAGAGATCAGAATGTACCAGGGCTGATAACTCTTCTTTTGAGATTTGGAAAAGTTTACCAGAAAGTACTACTATGTGTGTTGTTTGGTTCCACAACACACAAAGAGTATTGTTAAGATTAAGAAGTACTGGGGGCTGGGGTTGTGACTCAGTGGTGGAGCACTTGCCTAGCATGTGTGAGGCACTGGGTTCAATCCTCAGTACCACATAAAAATTAACAAATAAAATACAGGTATAGTGTCTGTCTACAACTAAAAAACTACTTAGAAAAAAAGAATAAGAAGGGCTGGGATTGTAGCTCAGTGGTAGAGTGCTTGCCTAGCATATGTGAGGCACTAGGTTCAACCCTCAACACAACATTAAAAAATAATAAAGGTATTGTGTCCATCTACAAATAAAAATTTGAAAAAAAAGAATAAGGATAAGCCAGGTATGGTGGTACATGCCTGTAATACTAGCAATTTGGGAGGGTGAGGCAGAAGGATGGCAAGTTTGAGACCAACCTTGGCAACAGAGCAAGAACCTGTCTCAAAATAAAATATAAAAAGGGCTGGGGATGTAGCTTAGTGGTAAAGTGCCTCTAGGTTAAATCACCACTACCAAAAAAAAATGAAAATGAGAAACAAATTTTTGATATTCAGTTTTATTTGCATATATTTCTAATAATCTATGCTGAAATGTAGTTCATTTGAGAATACTGATGGTTCAGAGCTTTACCTCCTATGCATGACCCCTTTACCATTTTTATTTGAGTTTTAAGAATTATAAAATAGTGAATTAAAGCTGTTTTGCTCACATGAGTTTAAGTGATTTTTGTGATGACAAGGTCCAGGGTTTGAATTCTATGTGAATACTGATTTTTATTTTGTAGGTTCTTGATATCCATACATATTGTTTCATGGTGAAGAGGGTGGGCAGTTTATTTTAAAGAAGTTATTTTCTCACTCTGTTTGATTGCTTTGATTTTTTGATACAGTTGAAAGAAAAGATGAAGGAACAGTCATGGAACATCCTATTTTCAGAATGTGGGCGTGGTGTTAGCATGTTTCGAACCAAAAAGACTCGAGATCTGGTCGTAAGAGGGATTCCAGAGGCTTTAAGAGGAGAGCTCTGGCTGCTTTTTTCAGGTATTTCAGCTATTAACTTTATTCATTTAGCAGAAATTAGGGAATTATGCCCTAAGCTAAAGAATTACAAACATGAATAGGACAAAGTCTTACTCATCAGGAATTCAGGCTAGTCAAAGAGAGAAAGATATGTAATTATGTGTACTTACCTATATATCCACACATCTAGTGCCTGAGCAGAATAATTTATTAGGCAAGATATATCCAATTGATGGAAATCTCTATCTCTAGTGTCAAAAGAAAGTTAAATGGGGAAAAAATCTCATAAAAATGTTATTCTCTTAGATACTGTTAGTTTGACATTTTAGATACCAGTGTAAAGCTTTTTCGTTTCCTTCATTTTCTTTTGTGTATGTCTTTGTGTTCAGAAATAACTTAATCATAAAGCTAAATTTCAAGGTAATGAAATAATTTTAAAATGCAATTCTTCATATATATGCTAATATGCTACTATATGCAAGCTATATTATATTCCTTTTTTGTGTGTGAATGCAATCATCTATACAGGTGCTGTTAATGACATGGCTACTAATCCTGGCTATTATGCTGAAGTGGTTAAACAGTCTTTAGGGACCTGCAACTTGGCTACTGAAGAAATTGAACGTGACTTGCGTCGTTCCCTGCCTGAGCACCCAGCATTTCAGAGTGACACTGGCATATCTGCTCTGAGGCGGGTACTTACTGCCTATGCATATAGGAATCCCAAAATAGGGTACTGCCAGGTATGACCTCACTATGAACCCAACTGTGTGAATGTTTCAAATGGTAAAATCACATTAAATCCAACTCTACCAATTTGGGAATTTTATGGAGTGGAATTGATAGTGAATATTATTAATGTAAGTATGATAGTAGTAGGAATATTTAGAATTGATATTTATTAATTTATCTTTTTCACTTAATAAGTATTTTTGAGTCCTTGCTCTATAAAAGATATGGTGCCACATGTGTAAGGCTATTTTAAGATATGTCTGGTAGGAATTTTTCCATTAAAGAAAGAAATATATATGTACACACACATATATATGTACATATATATTTATATATACTTATATACATATTAAAATCATTTTCATTGGGAAAATGAAAAACAAGTGAGATAAACTACTAAATGATTATAAAATCTTGTTGAGATTTATAGTAAAAAGAAATTATTTCATCTGGGAGAACCAGAAAAGGTGACATTTTCAGGTCATGAAAATTGGTGAATTTTGGACATAAAGAGATAGAATGCAAGAATATTCTAAGTGAAAGGATCAGTGCAACCTAACAGAGGTAAATGGGGAGTGTGTATAGGACAATGTTCTGTTTAGTAAAGTGTATGGTTAATGAAGCAAAGTAGTTGAAGAAAAAAATAAGGTAGATTGAAGCAGGTCAGTCATTTGGAATTTATTTTATAGGTAGTAGAGGAATCATTAGGAAAAAATCCTTTAGGAATACTCTGTGTTCATTAGGCTAGACTGTTAATACAAATAAATAATAATAAATAAGAGAAGATTGTTTCTTAAAGGAATAAGCAGAAGAAAGTGAGTATTTAGGTTAATAGACAGTTCTTTGTGAGATTAAGGTACTCTTCTGTTGCTATTACCACAGACAGAGGAGCAGGTAGAGGAGATGAAGAAACTGTGAGAGATTTGACAGAGTAGGCCTGGAAGGTTCTTACACCACTTCACCCACATTCTATTGGAAGATGTTTATCACATGGCCACATCTCTTTAAAAGGAAGTCTGTGAGTGAAGTGTTGTGGTACATGCTTGTAATCCCAATGATTTGGGGGGCTGAGGCAAGAGGATTGCAATATCAAAGCAAAAATATAACTCAGTGATGAAGCAACCCTAGATTCAATACCCAGTACTGCAAAAAAAAAAAAAAAAAAAAAAAAATCAAAAGGAATTCTATGACATGTAGTGTGAGCTGAATAGACCTGTGCCCAGCTACTATGGAAGAAGAAAAGATTGAATTATGGGGGATAGGAAGTACTCTGTACCATACATTCATTTCTAATAGGTTGAGCACCCATAAAGATTACATATCAATACCATCTATCCATTGAAACTTATTAACTGAGATTTTTTTGGGGGGGAGTAGGAGTTACTGGGACTCAAACCCATGGCCTTGCACATGGTAGGCAAGTACTCTACCACTGAATTACATGCCTAGCCCTAGAGAATTTTTTTTGAAAAACAATTTAAGTACATGAACTGTCTAAATGACAAGTACTTTTTAGCATATTGTTACATCTATGAAAGGTACAAAAGATGCATAATATGTCTTTTCTCAAAAAGCTTGAACTCACAGTTTAGCTATTGTGAATAGTTTAGCTATTGTGAATTGTGCTGCTATAAACATTGATGTGGCTGTGTGTCTGTAGTATGCTGTTTTTAAGTCATTTGGGTATAGACCCAGGAGAGGGATAGCTGGATCAAATGGTGGTTCCATTCCCAATTTTCCAAGAAATCTCCATACTGCTTTCCATATTGGCTGTACCAATTTGCAGTCCCACTAGCAGTGTATGAGTGTACCTTTTTCCCCCATATCCTTGCCAACACTTATTGTTGTTTGTATTCATAATAGCTGCCATTCTGACTGGAGTGAGATGAAGTCTTAGAGTGGTTTCGATTTACATTTCTCTAATTGCTAATGGTGATGAACATTTTTTCATATATTTGTTGATCGATTGTAAATCATCTTCTGAGAACTGTTTGTTCAGGCCTTGGCCCATTTATTGATTGGGTTATTTGTTTTTTTGGTGTTTAACTTTTTTGAGTTCTTTGTATACCCCAGTGATTACTGCTCTATCTGATGTGTGAGGGGTAAAGATTTGCTCCCAAGATGTGGGCTCTCTATTCACCTCACAGATTGTTTCTTTTGCTAAGAAGAAACTTTTTAGTTTGAGTCCATCCCATTTATTGATTCTTGATTTTAATTCTTGTAACAATGATGAATGGATTAAAAAATGTGACTATACACAATGGAATATTATTCAGCAATAAAAGAGAATAAAATTATGGAATTTTCAGGTAAATGGATGGAGTTAGAGAAGATAATGCTAAGTGAAGTTAACCAATAACAAAAAACCATATGCTGAATGTTTTCTCTGATATAAGGAGGCTGATTCATAGTGGGATAGTGACTGGGAGCATGGGAGGAACAGATGAACTCTAGATAGGGCAGAGGGGTGTGAGGGGAAGGGAGGGGGCATGGGGCTAGAAATGATGGTGGAATGTGATGGTCATTATTATCCAAAGTACAGGTATGAAGACACGAATTGGTGTGAATATACATTATATACAACCAGAGATATGAAAAATTGTGCTCTATATGTGTAATAAGAATTGTAATGCATTCTGCTGTCATATATAATTTTTTTTTAAAAAAAGAATGCCTAGGGAACCCTCTGCAAAAAAAAAAAAAAGCCTGAACCATGGGGCTGGGGTTGTAGCTCAGTGGTAGAGTGCTTGCCTCACAAGTACTAGGTTGTGAGACACTAGGTTCAGTCCTCAGCACCACATAAAAATAAAATAAAGATTTAAAAAAAAATAGCTTAAACTAAGGTGGGCACAAGCACACACCTGTAATCCCAGCCACTGGGGAGGCTGAGTCAGGAGGATGATAAGTTCAGAGCCAGCCTCAGCAATTTAGCTAGGCCCTAAGCAACTTAGCAAGATCTCTAAATAAAATATAAACAGGCTGAGAATGTGGCTCAGTAGTTAAGCACCCCTCAGTTTAATCCCTGATACCAAAAAAACAAAAAAGCTAGCCTGGGGTTGTAGCTCAGTGGTAGAGCACTTGCCTCTCACACGTGAGGCCCTGGGTTTGATCCTTAGCACCAAATAAACAAACAAATAAGTAAATAAATAGAAAGATATTGTGCCCATCTACAACTAAAAAAATGTTTAAAAAAAAGCTTACACAAAGCTTGTGATGTTATCTCTATGAAGTAGTTTAGAGATGGTTTCAAAGTAGGCAGCATTAGATTTTGATTTCTAAAAGATGAAAGCAAATTTAAACAGAGCAAGAAGAAAGTTACTCTGGGTTAAGGTAACCATATGAACAGTACCATTCAGGTGAGAATTGAGCCTACCTTAGAGATCAGACTGGCTAAGTTCATGTATCAAGTAGTAAATAAGTTTGTATGTGGAGCTGGGGTTGTGGCTCAGTGGTAGAGTGCTTGCTTCACATGTGTGATGCACTGGATTAGATCCTCAGCACTGCATATAAATAAATAAAAAATAAAGGTCCATCAGCTAAGAAATATTTTTTAAAAAGTTTATAACAGACAAGATCATGGAGAATCCTTAAAGTCTGAGAATATAGAGTTTTGAATTTAATATGGTAAACGAGTTATATTGCTTTTGGTCAAAAACCCATGTAAGCTATACAGATATGTTAATGCTTACCTGGCTTGCATATCTATCTCTATCTGTGTTGAGATATGCCACACACTAACTTCACCTTTTCATGCTTTATAGTATATTCAGAAAGTCATACAACTATCACCAAAAACATTTTCATCCTCCAAAAAGTAACCCTGTATTCATTACTATTTACTTTCCATTTCTTACTTTCTCTGGTCCATGCAATCATTACTCTACTTTCTTTCTCTATGAAGATGCCCAGTATAGACATCTTATCTATCTGAAATGATAGTGTATGTGGTCTTTCATGTCTACCTTCTTTTATTTAGTATATGGTATCTCTACTTCATTCTTGTTATGACTAAATAACTTTCTATTGTATGGATATACCACATTTTGTATATCTCTTGAACAGGTGGTGACCATTTGGATCATTCCCATATTTTGACTGTAAAGAATAGTGCAGCTATTAATATTCATATAAAAGTTTTTGTGTGGACATTTTTTATTCCTTTGGGTATATTTCTTGAAGTGAAATTGCTAGGTTATTTGGTGACAAAAAGTTTAACTTATTAGGGCACTACCAAAATATTTTCCAAAGAGACTTCACCATTTCACATTCCTACCAGGAATGTACAAGGGGTTCCAATTTCTTCATATACTTAACTACACTTACTATTTCTCTTTTTTGATTTCTGCCATCCAATTGATTGTGAAGTGGTATCTTCATACCCTTGATAAAAGTCAATTGACCATAGATGTTTGGGCTCTTTATGGAATGTTGATTCTGTTCCCTTCATTTATATTTCTATCCCTATGCCAGTATCACACTGACTTGATTACTGTGTCTGTGTGAGTTCTGAAATCAGGAAGTATCAGCCCTTTAACTTTGTTCTTTTCCAGAATTTTTTTGGTGCTTTCATTTTTATTTATTTATTTATTTATTTTTAAGTTTTGGCTCTTTTACATCCCTCATATGTCTATGAATTTTAATATCCACTTGACAATTTCTTCAAGGAAAAAAGCCAGATAACTGTTGCATTGATTGAACCTGTAGATCAACTTGGGGAGTATTGAGTATTAACAATATTAAAAGGATATTTTTCCAAGCATTTTAATCTTTTTTAATATTATAGTAAATGGAATTGTTTTCTTGGTTTCATTTTTGGGTTATTTGTTGCCAGTATATAGAAATACAGTTGATTTTATGTATATTGATTTTATATCCTATAACCTTGCCAAGATTATTTATTGTTCTAGTAAATGTTTTGTGGATTCTTTAGGAATTTCTACATACAAAATTATGGAATCTGAATAGTAGTACTTTACTTCTTCCATCCCAATCTGAATGCCTTTTTGCTTTTTTCTTGCCTCACTGACCTGGCTAAAATCTTCAATACAATGTAAAATGGAAGTATTGATGTTGTTTTGTTGTTGTTGTTTTGAAATGGAGTCTCCTTATGTTGCCCAGTCTGGTCTCAAACTCCTGGACTTAAGGATCCTCTGACCTCAGTATCCCGAATAGATGGAACTACACGTGCATGCCACTATACCTGGATTAATAGAACTGTTAAGAATGTATATCCTTAGGTTATTATTTATCTTGGAAGCAATCAGTCTCTCATCATAAAATATAATGTTAGTTATGAAGATTTTGTAGATTTTTGGTTTTGATACTGTGGCTTGAACCCAGGGGCATTTTACCACTGAGGTACAATCCAGTCCTTTTAATTTTTTTTAAATTTTGAAAAAGGGTCTCACTAAGTTGCTTAGAGCCTCACTAAATTGCCCAGGCTGGTCATGAACTTGTGATCCTCGTGCCTCAGCCTGAACTCTCTAGAATTACAGGAATGCACCACTACACCCAGCTGAATTTTTGTAGATTACCAGGTTGAAAAGATTCTTATATCCTCCTATTTTATTAATTTTTTATCATGAAAGAATGTTGGAATTTGTCAGATGATTTTTTTCTATGTCCATTGAGATAATCATGTGATTTTTTCCCTTTCTTTTACTAAAATGGTATATTTCATTGATTGATTTTCATATGCTAAACCACTCTTACAGTCCCAGAATAAATCTTGGTATTGGTGTGTGATCTTTTTTGGTTACATGTTATTGAATTTGGCTTTCTACTATTTTGTTCAGGATTTTTACATTTGTATTTTGTAAAATACATTGATATATAGTTGTGATGTTTTTATTAAATTTTGGTATCTGTATTTTTTAGAATGAGTTGGGTAATGTTTCCTCCTCATTTGTTTTGAAGAGTTTATGAAGGACTGGTGTTAATTCTTCTTTAAATGTTGAGTCGAATATGCCAGTAAAGCCATCTGTTCTTAGAGGTTTCTTTCTGGGAAGTGTTTTCATTATGAATTCAATCTGTTTACTTTTATAGATCTGTTTAATTATTTCTTTCTTCTTGAACTGGTATCAGTAGTTTGTGTTTTTATATTTCTGTATGGTTAATAATTATATTCTCTATTTCCTGGTTGTAATAATTTAGTCTCCTCTCCTTGTTTTTTAATGTTTTGATTAGGCTCCTTAAAGATACTTAAGTCTTTTTGTCTTTTTAAAAAATCTTTTCAATAAATCAACTTTTGGTTTAATTTTTTTCTCTATTTTTATTCTGATTTATATCACTTTCTGCTTGCACTGAGCCTCAACTTTAGCCAGAGGTAAGATTAGGCTTTTCTGTTCTTTCCTAAGCTACATACAGCTATAAATGTGCAGAAAACCAGGCATATATATGTCCTTCTACTTTCCCAATAATATGTCAGATTTTCAAAGTTCCCAGATCTTTCTTAACCCTCTGTTAGCCTATTGTTTGGCCCAACTGTAATCTATTCTCTGAGACACACATGTTAACAGCTCTGATGGTTTTCAATAAAAACCCTTAGGGAAAAGGCTTTTTGTACTATAGGAGCCCTGTGTCAGGTCAAATAAAGATAGACTTGTGAGTAGAATCTTGCAGAAGACTACCAGACAGATTAAATAATGATAATTCTCTGGGAGTGGGGCTTTAAAGTAGCTCCAATCCTACCCTGTTTCCCTGGTGGCAGCTGGGTACTGGTTTTTCACTTTGATTGCTGGGTGGTGATGTTTTTGTTGTTGTTGTTATTGTTTTGGCATTTCTTATTTTTATTTGTTTTTTTACAGTGCTGGGTATCAAACCCAGGGCCTCATGTATGTTAGGAAAGCACTCTATCACAGAGCTATATTCCCATCCTTAGGTGTTGGTTTTTATCCTAAAGCTGAAGAGACAAAATGAGAATAGAACTGTTGCAGCATCAGACTTGCCTGCCAGATCCTCCACCAAGTTGAGGCTCAGAAAAGTGGCTACATGCAGGATTTTAAAGACTGCCAGTTCTTTGTGATCTTGCAGGAACTATCTCAAGGGGTCATACAGAATAATAGGCATGAGTTTATTTGGAAAAGTTAAATAAGAGAGATGAGCATACAGCACAAGTTGCGGAATAGACCTTCACCAGAGAGAACAGTGTAGTTTTTACAGGACCTAGGTTTTTAAACCAGATGAATTTGGAAACCCTCCCCCTCTGAAATTGGAAGAAGTAGATGTTGGCCCCAGGAAGTCATAAGGAAGGCTCCAAGGACTGGAAAAGAGCCTAAACCTGAGAAATCCTTTCTGAGTCTTGGAATCTTTGGTTGGTATAAAGGTCACAAAAGTTTCCCCTGAGTGGCCTCAAGTATATTGTTTTTTAAAAGAAAGCACATGATGGGGGTCAGCAAAGTAAACCCAGTGTGAACAATTATCCTCTTAACCTCATATACCTGCCATTGGTGTCTGTTATCTATCAGGATTATTGCCACAGAGCTCATTGTTTTTACTGAGACTCAGGCATTTTCTTCAATAGATGTTACCTGCCAGTGTTCTTATTGCTTTTATAGAAGAAATATTTTTGTAAGTCCTATGGTACCATTTTCACTCTGTTCCCTCCCTTATGGCTTCTTACACAACAAAGTGAAGAAGTAAAAATGGCTTGTGATCAAATATTGTCAAGGAATTGACATAGTTAGTATACAAATCTATTCAAAAGGTATCAAAATATAAAAAAATGAGCAATGGACAGGAAATGATTAGTCACAGAGGAGGAAATGCAGAATGATAATGAACCTGAAAAAGAAAGTCTAACCTTATAGAATTGAAATTAGAACAATGAGATACCATCTACAGTATCAACTTAATAAGGGTAATTATTACAATTCTCAATATTAGCAAACGTGCAGTGAAATAAACATTCAAACACTATTGGCTAGGAATGTAAATTGGCACAATCTTTCTAGAATGTAATTTGGCAATAATATTAAGTCTTTAATAAATAATACCCTTTGGTAAAACAATTTCATTTCTAGATAACTAATCCTGAGAAAATAGTAAAACACTTGAATGAAGAGTGATATACAAAGGTATCCATTGCAGCATAATAAACATACAGGGTTTCTACCATAATCAAGATTAGGATAACTGAGAAGAGATTCCTATTTGATAGGAATAAGATGTTTAGTTTTGGACATAGTGAAGGATGATTGACATCTATATTCTTCTACAGATAGTTGGAAATAGAGATGAAGTTTATTTTCCCTAATTTTAGTATGTTCTTGAAAATTATGTGGATGTTTTTCAGATTTATGATAATGTTTTTTGAAATTACTCTTAAGTTTTACTACTGTATTTTACATCTGTGGTATTACTTCTTTGTATTCCTTGAATGTTACTGTATAAAATAGCTAATTAGACTTACTTTGTTTTGTTTTGGACTAGCTCATAGTTCTCATGTTTCCATTATTATACTCTCACTTGTTCTCATTACTATTAAACACTACTAAGTTTGAAGAAGAAATGCAATTGTTATCTGAGTAATATTTATTTTTTGTATCTTTTCTATGAACTTTAGGCAATGAACATTTTAACTTCGGTGTTGCTTCTATATGCAAAAGAAGAAGAAGCTTTTTGGCTTCTGGTTGCTGTATGTGAACGAATGTTGCCTGATTATTTTAATCGTCGAATCATTGGTAAACACACACAGACACTATCTTAGTCTGTTTTCTCTCGACATAACCAAATGCCACATACTGTGTAATTTATAAGTGATAGAGGTTTATTTAGTTCATGGTTCTAGAGGCTAGGAATTCCAAGAATGTATGCCAGCATCATCTCAACATCTGGTGAGGGCCTTCTTGCTCCATCATAATGTGGTGGAGTGCATCACATGGTAAGATAGAGCAAGCATGCCAGAGACAACTTGCTTTTATAACAAAGCCACTCCCTTGATAACCTATTAATGTACTAATTCACAGATGGATTAATTCATTCATTAGGGAAGAGCCCTCATGACCCACTCACCAAAGATCCCACCTCCATATACCACTAATATATGAATTTTGTGATTAAGTTTTCAACACATTAAATTTGGGGAATCTATTCAAACCATAAAAGACACATATTTCTTTTCTGAGCCCTTTGAGTGTCTCTTATCTACTCAGTTGCCAGTCAAGTAAAGGAATTGATTAACTACATTGCAAAATATATAAAATGTCAAAATGTCACATTCACTGACTTGCTTAAAAAGAGAACAGCTTTTTTGTACAGTTAGGAGCTCTGGTGGCATAATTGGTTACTGCGTGATATTTATACAGAATGTGTAGTTGGAAAGATTGCATCAGGTCTGTTTCTTAATAAAATGAATACTTTAAACTTATAATCATTTAATGATAAAATAATGATGCTCTGAAATATCCAGAGATGCAGAGGAAATTTTAATATTTCTTGATGGGAGGGGAATTTTTATCAGCTTAAAATTGCCATATTTATATTAATTATTTAGGTATTTACAAGGTTTGAAAGAAAGATCAAGATCTTGCTTTGATAACTATATAATATTTTCTTAAAACATCAAGTATTTATAGATCTCTTATCCCCTGTCTTAAAACTTAGAAGCTTTAATTATTATGGCTAGGTCATTGATTGTATTGCCTTTGTTAGAGTGACTTGTACATTTATCTTGAGTTCTACTAGATATTAAACTTCTTGAAGATGAGACCATTTTGTTAATTGTACAGGTCTATGATATAATGAGGACTCAAATAACTCTTCAAATGAATTTGGATTGCATTTCTCAAATGCTTTTAGGTACATGATACTCTACTAGAAGATGCAGAAATATATTAAATATAGAAACAGCACTAAAAGAGTTCATAATTTAAGGATGAGAGGAGATATATCAGCAAGTTAATAGAAGTGGGAAGGTATCAGAAAAAATCCTTTTGAAGATGTTCATTTTTAAACTTATTTTGAATTCTCCAGGTGCCTTGGTGGATCAGGCAGTCTTTGAAGAACTTATCAGGGATCATCTTCCTCAACTCACAGAACACATGACTGATATGACATTCTTTTCCTCAGTTTCTCTCTCATGGTTCCTCACACTTTTTATTAGTGTGCTACCTATTGAAAGTGCAGTGAATGTGGTGGACTGTTTCTTCTATGATGGAATAAAGGCCATTCTACAATTGGGATTGGCAATACTTGATTATAATTTAGACAAGCTACTGGCATGTAAAGATGATGCTGAAGCTGTGACAGCTTTAAACAGGTATTGTAGAAACTATAACATTTAAATCTGAAGGGAATCTGAGAGACTGTGGTGTTCAGTCCCCTCATTTCACCAGTGAGGTTAACTGAGCTCTAAAAACTTCAAACAATTTTCCTAAAGTCACAGAGCAGTTGAATGAAAAAGCTAGACAAAAAAGTCTAGTCCATTGTTTTTCAATAGAATGTAACAAAAGAAAATCACTTGGAAATGAACAATTAGGTTATTTATGCTAATACTGTTGATTCAGTATGCTAGGACTTTCATAATCCCAGTTTGAGCTAAAAAGTGTTTCTGTGTAAAAGTAATTTGACAGGGAAAGTGATAGTTGATAATACTAAATATCCAGTGTAGGAAGTTATCCTGGTTTCCATATGGTTTCAGTCAGGTAGGTTGCATTTTATTTTCCTGGTGGTTTTTGTATGAATGTTTCTTTTATATTGGAGACTCTGTGTGTGTGTGTGTGTGTGTGTGTGTGTGTGTGTGTGTTATGTGTGTATGTACACATTTGTTTACATTAAATTAACATTTGAATTGGCAACTGTTGTAATGCTTCATCAAATCCCATTCCTTCAGAACTCTGTGATGAGGCCTCAATATACCTTTCTTTACTTATTTCCCCTTACATATCTTTACAGACTCTGTTTCCATTCTTGCTGGGCTGTGTAGTATTTGCTGAGTGCACACTGAGCATATTTGCTTCCTTCATGTTCTCTTCCCCAACCAAAAATGATATTAACTCCATTTCCCCCACCCACGTCTTCCTATCATTTTCAAATTCCAATTCTTCATAAGGCTTTCCCTTGTATTCTTAGTAGAAATTATCCTCTGACTAAATATGGAAATATTAGTTTTTGTTTTCTCAGCTTTACCAATTTTAGTTCCTCTAATTCTATTACTACCATTTTTGAATAGGTTCTTTGACAATGTCACTAATAAGGACAGCCCATTGCCTTCAAATGTTCAGCAGGGTTCAAATGTGAGTGATGAACAAAGCAGTCATATTAGAGTGGATATTACAGATTTGATAAAAGAGTCCAATGAGGTAAGTTTTTATACTATGAATATGATTACATAGCATATTTTAAATGATAATTGTAGTTATATCTCTAGTGGTATATTCAGAATAAAATAATAATGCAAGTAAAGATACAATTTAAAAGCTACCTTCACTTTTGAATTCTGTGGACAGGTCCTAGGTTGCATGACCTCTTCTTTCTCAATTCACGTTTCATTAAATGAAACTATATTCACGTGCTTTTACAAATGGTGACTTTTAAATATGTATCACTGTAAAAAGATAAAAATTATTTTGTCCTTAGAGACTAAGCATTTTATCAATGTTCTTATACTTGGTCTAGACACAGAGTAGATGGGATTCTTTTCAATGTGTATATATATATATAAAAACTGAAAAGTGGGAGGTGAAAATTTGCAAAATCACTGAACAAATCAGGAAAATAGCTAGGAAAAGAATCAAGGCCTCTGAGAATTGAGTCTGATAAAATTAAAAGAGGAGAAGTGAATATTTATTATGAATGAGTATCCAATGAAATCATTTCTTGCAGAAATATGGTAATATTCGCTATGAAGATATACACAGCATGCGCTGTCGAAATAGGTTATATGTGATACAGACCCTAGAGGAAACAACAAAGCAGAATGTGGTGAGTATCTAACCAATGGGGGAAAACCAGTTAGAGTAACTTTTTTTTCTTCAACTTCCTTTAAACATTATCATTGCATGTGAACTAAACAAAAAGACCTAATTTTTTGAGCTAGATTCTTGCCAAGGTTTTGCTTATTGAAAAAAAAAATAAGAAAAAATAATTTATTTTCTTCTGGCTGAATTATGTTGCTTTCTCCAACATGTTTTATGTTATTTGACCTTAAACACCACTGCAGTGCAGTACTAAATGCTATGATGTAGGCATTTAAGCATAAAATATTTGTGATGTACTGCATCAGGAAGAACAGCTGATCTGTATAATAGTCAGTGCTCTAATACTGTTTTCCTTGCATATCTAAGGTAAATTGAATAGGATACAAAACAGTTTTAAGTATTCACCTTTTTAACATTTGGATGACTTTATAAGAAGCTGTTAATATTGATTTCCTCATGTCAGTGAGATGAAGAGATTATTTCAGAAGGGGGAGAATTTTATTTTGCTGTTTATATTGTGTACTATTTGATATTTTATCATGAGTGTGTGTTGTTTTGTAAATCTACTTGCTTAAAGACCGGGTCCTCAGAGAAACAACTCTAGGAAGTTTAACATTTCTGAATATTCCACATTTAGATTTCAGTTAAATAATTCAGTGATGTTACCAAAGCATAGTTAGCAGAGGCCCCTTGTTTCTGTTACATATTTTCTAAAATTTACTAAAGTTATAATGTTAAAAAAAAAATAAAGTTATAATGTTTATTGTAAATAATTCAAGCATTACAAAAATGTAAAGAGTAAAGCTTTCCACCCTAGGAGTAACCATCTTAAAATGATTTGATATATATCCTTCCTTTTTCTATATATCTGGACACCTAAGTGTGTATGTTAGTGGGAAGGGAACATACAGCTTTTAATTTTGTTTTGTTTGGTACTGGAGACTGAACCAAGGGGCTTCACTAAGTTACACCCATAGCCCTTCTTGTTTTTTTTTTTTTTTTTTATTTTGAGACAAGGTCTAAGTTATTTAGGGACCTGTTGAGTTGCTGAGGCTGGTCTTGAATTTACAATCCTCCTGGTCTCAGCCTCCCATGCTGCTGGAATTACAGGCATATACAACTACATATAGCTTTTTAAATAAGATCATACTGCTTTGTCCTACAGCCTTTTTCATTCAAAAATATATCATGTTGCTGGTGGGACTGCGAATTGGTGCAACCACTCTGGAAAGCAGTATAGAGATTCCTTAGAAAACTTGGAATGGACCAATCCAGCTATCACACTCCTCGTTCTATACCCAAAGGACTTAAAATCAGCATACTATAGTAACATAACCACATCAGTGTTCATAGCAGCTTAATTCAAAATAGCTAAACTGTGGAAGCAACCTAGATGCCCTTCAATAGATGAATGGATAAAGAAAATTTGATATATATACACAATGGAATATTCAGCATTAGAAGATAATAAAATTATGGCGTTTGCAGGTAAATGGATGGAATTGGAGAATATCATGCTAAATGAAGTAAGCCAATCCCAAAAAACCAAAGGCTGAATGTTCTCTTTGATAAGTGGATGCTGATCCATAATGGGGAGGCAGGCATGGGAAAAATGGAGGAACTTTGATGGGGCAAAGGGGAGGGAGGGGTAGTGAGGGGACATGGGGTAGGAAAGATGGTGGAATGAGATAGACATCATTACCATAGGTACATGTACAACTGCACATATGATGTGACACTACATCATGTACAACCAGAGAAATGAAAAGTTGTGCTTCAGTTGTGTACAATGAATCAAAATGCATTCTGCTACCATATATACATAATTAAAATAAATTAGTTAATTAATGAAAATATATCATTGGCCAGGTACTCTGTTGCATGTCTATAATCCCAGCAACTCAGGAGGCTGAGGCAAAAAGATTGCAAGTTCTAGGCCAGCTTTAGCAGTTGAGTGAGGCTAATAAGCAACTTAGACCCTGTCTCAAAAAAAAGGGGGGGGGGGGGGCTTGGGATGTGGCTTAGTGGTTAAGCCACTAAGAAAGCCCGGGTTCAATCCCAAGTATCCTCCCCTAAAAAGTGTGTGTGTGTGTGTGTGTGTGTGTGTGTGTGTGTGTGTGTATAGTCATTACATTTAAGTACATAGAGATCCTACTTTCTTCTTAATGTATCAAATAGTTTACCATAGTATAGATATGCTGTGATTTATTTAACTGTTCACTGTCAGTGTGCATTTAATATGTCTCAATTTTTTGTTTGCACTTATAGATATAAATTACATAATCGTGTGTGTGTGTGTGTGTGTGTGTGTGTGTGTGTTTATAAGAGTATTAGCTGGGTAAAAGGACACAACCATCTAAAATTTGATAGGTCCTGCCAAATTATCTGCCAAAAGATTTACACCAAATTCAAAACCCACCAATAGGATACACAAATGCATCCTTTTCCACACACTGACAACTAAGATCTTCAGTATATGCCAATTAGATAGATAAAAAATCAAATGTTACTTTAATTTTCATTTTGCCTATTACATGTTTCTAGCCTACTTCATTCCTTAATTGCCTGTTCGTAGCCTTCATCCATTTTTCTATGAGATTATTTTAATCTTTTGCTTACTGATTTGTAAGAGCTCTTTGAATATTAGGGATATTAATTCTTTCTCAGTTATGTTTAGGGCCTAATTCTGCCCCCCAGTCTTGGTTTGTTTTCATTATCTTTATGGTGTCTTTCAGAGTAAATATGTTACAATTTATTATGCAGTCAAGTCCTTTCCCTTTTTTCTTACATAGTACTTGGGTTTTGTGTCAAACTTAGTAAGGCTTTCCCTATTTAAAATTATACAAAATATAAAAAATACATAGCTTATATTACTGGTATTGCTTTTTTAATGTTTATATCTTTAATATACCTAGAGTATATTTTTGTGTTTATAGTGTGGGTTAGGGCTCTAATGTTATTCTTTCAGCTGATATCACCCAGTGTCTTATAACCACTTAATTAAATAGTCCATATTTACTGTACTCTACTTTTCCATATTCTAAATGCTTACATACGTGTATGGCCATATTTCTGGACTTTTGTTGTTGTAGTCACTTCAATAATACCACAGTGTTTTAACTATTGTGGCTTATTTTCATTCTGTAATCTATTTAAACTTTTAAAATTCCTTTTTAATATTCATCTTAATTATCTGTCTTTTAAAATGTCCTTTAGTAAGCACATATGGTCTTCATTATGTAGGTCATTACACATTTATTGTTAGGTTTATTGTACTTCTATGTATTTTATAGTTTTATCATTAAAAGAATTGAGTTTTTTCCTTTACACTTTTATTTATTTTTAATTAATTTTTATTAGTTGTCAATGGACCTTTATTTTTTTTATTTATTTATATGCAGTGCTAAGAATCCAACCCAGTGCCTCACATGTTAGGCAAGCACTCTAACAATGAGCCATAACCCCATCCCCTTCCTTTACATTTTCTAATCGTGTATTTCTGTGTATGTAAAAGCTATTGATTTGGACATATTGATTTTCTGAGTGGTCAAGTTACTGACTCATTAATTAAAACAGTTTTCACTTGGCTTTCTCAAATTTTCTGAATAGACAGGCATATTATCTCCAGTCTTAGGATTTTGACATTTTCTAATATTTATACCTCTTTTCTTTGTTGTGTGTTATTACATGGGGCAGGCTCTTCAGCAGAGTATTAAATAATAGCTATAGAAGTAGTTTTCCTTGTCTTATTCCTGAGTTTAATAGGAATGTCTCCAATATTTTATTGCTATTGACTTCTAAAGTATGCCCTTTATCAAATTAAGGAAGTTTTATTCAGTTTCTAGGTTAGCAGGTTAGGTACTTCTTTTAAAATTAAGATCAAGTATTAACTTTGATCAAATTTTTTTTCAAATATTGAGGTTAGTTTTTTTTTTACTTTACTAATGTAAATTTTATTAAAGAATTTCTGATCAATATTAGACTTCCATTGCATTCTTGAAATAAATCCTATTTGGTCATAATATATTATTCTTTAATAGTTTGCTTTGAAAGTTCTACCAAATAATTTAGCTAGATTCTTTGCATCTATGTTATAGAGACGTTGTTTTAAACTTTTCTTTGTGTGTGTGTGATAACTTTAGTTTTCATATTAGTTGTGCTTACATCATAGAATTAATTTTGTAATAAGCTCATATTTTCCTATGCTCTGAAATATTTTAGATCACATAGAGATTATCCTGTATCTGAAGGTTTGAGAAAACAACCTGTAAAACCATCTGAGAGAGGGCTAATATCTAGATTATATAAAGAACTCAGAAAATCCATAAATAACCCATTTAATAAATGGAAAATGAACTAAATGGAAACTTCTCAAAAGACATAGTAACAGCCAACAAGTATATGAAAAAATGTTCAACATCTTTAGCCAACATGGTCAAAACTACACTGAGATTTCATTTCACTCCAGTTAGAATGGCAGTCGTCAAGAATACAAGTAACAGTACATGCTGTTAAGGATGCAGGATTTTGAAAAGGAACTCTTATATACTATTGGTGGGAATGTAAATTAGTATAGCCCCTATGGAAATCAGTATTTAGCTTCCTCAGAAGACTAGGAATAGAATGACAATATGATTTAGCTGTACCATTCCTCAATATTATACAAGAGAATTAAAATCAGTGTATTCTACAGATACATGCATACCCATGTTCATAGCAGCTCAATTCACAATGGCCAAATTATAGAATCAGCCTAGGAAACTACCATCAGCAAATGAATGGATAATGAAAATGTGGTATATATACACAAATGAGTTTTGTTCAGACATAAAGAAGAAGGAAATTATATCATTTGCAGGAAAATGGATGGAACTGGAGGACACCATGCTAAGCAAAATAAGCCAGACTCAGAAAATCAAGGGTTGTATGTTTCTCTCATATGTGGAAGGTAGAGAGAAAAGGGGGGGAAAGGGAATCTTATGAAAACAGATGAAACAAAAATGTTGAAACAGAACATTTTTTTAAAAAAGCATCTGAGTCTGCTGCCTTTGCATGGGTGGCAGTTCCTGGATAACCTTTTCAGTTTTGTTTATTCATATTTTCTTGCACCTCTAAGTTATTTTGGTCATTTATATTTTCCTAGGGAATTATCTATTTTGAAAGATCTATTTTATCTATTTTCAAATGTATTGATGTAAAGGTTATGGAATTTATTCAACAGATATTGACAGCTACCTTCTGTGTACTGGGTACTTTTAATGACCTCCATATCCATGCTAATAATATCCTTTTCTTCTCAATGATGTTTATTTGTAATTTATTTCTCATACTTCCCAGAGATTAAGTTCTATCATATTAATTAAAGCTTTTACCTTTCCTTTGCTTTTACATTGCTTAAATTCTATAATGTTTGTACTATTAGTGCTTATTATTTATGGAGTAGAACAAAATTTTCTATTTTCTAAGCTTATTATTTGTTGGATTATACTTTTTGGCAAAGTAGGAATGCATATCTCCTGATACCTTTGAAGTGTTAAATGACAGTCTAGCTTGATGACTTAAAATATTGCTTATGTAACAAGAAAGGAATATATGGAATGAGACTTAGAATACTGTTGCTTGTATTTATAGATATTAAGTGGCTATCCTTTGGCATTGATTTCTGGGTATAAGGAGATAACTATCAAAGTAGTAGTATCAGAGTAGAATTGAACTGTAGTTCAAAAGTGTTAAATAAGTGCATTTACCTTTATTTCTCTAGAAAAGGAAAAGATTTTCTTCTGGCATAGTGAGACTTTTAAGTGGATTCATAGAGAATTTCTATATTGAAGTGTTAAATTCTAAATTCTAAAGTGCTTTTAATTTTTTTAAAGTTGCGTGTTGTATCACAAGATGTGAAATTGAAACTTCACGAATTGGATGAACTTTATGTCATCTTTAAGGTACTGTTCTTCTTCTTTAAATGAAACAGTAGTTCCCTTTTAGCAGAATTTTATCAGAACTAAAATATTTTTTATCTTTTTTATCAAACATCTTTAAAGGAAAAAAATCTTCTGCAATGACTTTGTTTGTTTGTTTTTAATAGAAGGAGCTGTTTTTATCTTGTTACTGGTGTTTAAGTTGTCCAGGATTGAAGCACCATGACCCCAGCCTGTCATATTTGGAACAGTATCAGATTGACTGCCAGCAGTTCAGAGTGTTGTATCACTTGTTGAGTCCGTGGGCTCATTCTGCAAATAGAGACTCACTAGCTTTGTGGACATTCCGATTGTTGGATGAAAACTCTGATTGCCTTATAAACTTCAAAGAATTCTCCTCTGTAATTGGTAGGCTGATGTCCAATAATTTTGTAGCACAAAATAAATGCACCCAAAAAAATATTTACTAATGCCTACTATTGACAGTTTAGTTAGATTATATAACCCAGAGTTACATTATCTCCAGCTTTAGTAAATACTAGGCCATTTTTTTAGTTTGTTGATAAACCTAAGTGTATCGATCTCATTTTTCCCCAACCACATCAGGAAGGCAAGCTGTTAGATGTGGATGTTTTAATGTTTAAGGTGGAGGAAGAGACTGTCCCAATTTTCCCATACTCGAGTGCATAGATGTTACAGATGCACTTTCCCTTTTAGTAAAAATCCAATCACATAGTCAAGAAAAGTGGTGGAGAAATACCCAACATATATGTCATATGTGTAGATAGTGTATGTGTATATGTGTTGTGACTGTAAATATTGTCCCTTTGCTTTTTCAGACTCTCCAGCAGTAGTTTCTTATCACAAATTGCCCCTTGAGGAGCAATTCTTTCCTCAAATGAAGCATAAGGCCTTGTTCAAAAAAAAAAAAAAAAAAAAGGAAATCTTAGGTTTGAGAAAAGGAGGAGATAGTCAGGAGAGCATTTTATTGCCTGATAGAATACTTTGCTTGTTCACTTGAAGGAGAGAATCTGGCTGACTGGATGGTTGTTTAATTCTTATTGAAATAACAGAAGGTTTTTGAATCCTAATTCCTGGCTAGTGTCTATCTTAATGAATCTATTTTGCTATAATTGATTGAATCATCTTTGGATTACATGATTATTTCCAATTGGATTTTGTTAAACAGACATAATGTACAATGGAAGTTTTACCGAGAAGCTTAAACTGCTTTTTAAGCTGCATATTCCTCCAGGTAAGAATTTAATAGTCTTTCATGATGTACAGCAGGAGTTTGTTTCATTTTAAATAGCATAACTACAGATATCATTCCATTTAACAAATAACATAATTTTCAGTGTGATACAGGGTCATTGCTTCATTGTGGCCCTTGAATCACATTACCAACTACTTCTGCTGATGTATGTAGATGTAGCAAAATGTATAGAAGAAATTGTGTGTATCTGATGTGTCCAGAAGTTTCCTTTCTATTAATGTTCTATCAGTTTAATGATAGTTTATGTATGGGAATTACATTTCATTTGAATATTGGTATAATGTTGAATTGTTGTTCTTGTTATTGTCATTAGAATAGAGATTTGATTTGGACAAACTGCCAAGCTTGCATAATACTACAAATTATTCAGAACAATTAGACAAGGTAGCAGGGATATTAAATATTTAGAAAAGGAAGTAAAATAATAGCTGCCATTGATCAAGCACTTGCTCTACCAGGACATTCACTTTGCATGTATTTGTTTACTTAAGTCTCTCAATATCCCTGAAAAGTGGTATTATTCTTCCAATTTTGATCATAAGGTAACTCAGGGTGGAGATGATTAGATTATTTGCTAAGGGTCACATAGCTGGGATTCAAAGTGAGGTCTGTCTGACTTCAAAGTTCTGGGTTTTTTTCTACCATACTTCCTCAACATTCTTGCATAAGTCCAGTTTATGTAAGTTTTTCCCACTGACCTTAAGAGGCTACCTTTTCCAGATATCCCTTCTTTGGCAAAACAGTCTTAGGCTTTAAATTGAAGATACATTGCATAAAGTAGCTAGCTAGGGTAATTCACAAAAACAAACACCACCTCTTACTTTGTCTAAAGCTCTACCTGTGATTGCTTTCAAAGTCTTCAGATTAGCCATGAAAAAAATATTTACCAGAGCAACAAACTAAAAGCCATCTTTAACTCTTCACAAACACAATATTAAAAATAATATTCAAAACACCTAATAATTTAATATAAAAAATTGACATTTTCAAGTTATATTGAAATTTGAATGTTTAATACTGCCATCAAATATACCACTCATATAGGGATCAAAATAGGAAAAATACTATGTACCCATTTAAACACATGTTGGAAGTAAAGCAGAACACTCAACATTATGTTTTCTTTATCACTGAGGAAATTTTTAAATGGCTGAGGTCACATTCAGAGATTTCTAAATTCTAGTTTTTCTTATTTTAACTTGTAATGATTTACAGAAAACTATAAAAAAAAGAAGTAGGAGAAACAATAGAACTCAAAGTGGCCTAATACTTCTCATTATTTGCTATACAACACAGCAGAATTATTTCCACATTTCTTTATTTACATTTTTTTCATATAACCCATTGTTTAACTTCCTGATCCCAAATCTACCTGACCATTATGAACCTCATCTCTGTACTTTATTGTTAAATGTGATTTGGGTTATACATTTTCAGCATATACTGAAGTGAAATCTAAGGACTCTTCAAAAGGTGATGAACTTTCCGTGGAAGAATTACTTTATTTCAGTCAGCTTCATGGTAAATATTTGCTTAAAAAATTAGCTATTCATTTAGTATAATCTGTAAATATTTGACTTATTAACCAAACCACACTTAAGGGCTTTAACATGTGAAATTTCTTGTTCTTAGAGAATTAAGATTTTTTTTCTAATTATGTTAAATTTTCAAACTGAGTCAGACCATTTTCGTGCCTTGTATAGTACAATGAAAACAATAGAATCTTTGATGATTAAAGGTCATAGCCATTATTAAAACAGTGGATACTTATTATAAAATGTCAGTGAAGGTATAGGATATAGGAATAAATCTATGTCCTAGACATAATTTAGAAGTGATAGGAACTTATTTGTCCTTTGTTTTATTTTCTTAAGTATGCAGTGTCTCACTGAGGGACAAATTCTGAATAATGTATACATGTGCTTACTATATGTTGACGTGTTTGAACATCAAAGAGTACTTACAAATAATCTAATCAAGTTCCTTCATTTTATAAATTTTGTAGATTTATAGCCCAGAGAGAAATGACTTGTGCAAGATTTTACAATGAATTATTGCCACACTCAATACTTGTATGTCATTCTTCTGACTTTGAGTATGTGTGTGTTTTTTAATTTTTCTGATAATAAAAATAATACAATTTAATTTTTAAAAAATCAAAATATCATCCAGAAATAAATATTTAATATTTTATATACTCCCTTCTAGGCATTTTCTTAAATATGGAAATTTCTCTAGGGATGTTTTTCCTATGAAAGTTCTTGAATACTTTGTCTTCTAGTGACATGAAGTCAGGTCAGCTAAAATTGACTTCCTGAATCAAAGAAAATAACATGTGCTTATAAGTCTTTGTATGAAATACTATTTTACTTATAAAAAATATTTATTAAATATTTTACAATATGCATTTGTCCTCTTTTCCTTCTAGTTTCCAAACCTGCAAATGAGAAGGAAGCAGAATCAGGAAAAAATAGCCCTGAAAAAGGTACTATGATCTAAGAATATCATTTAGTTTATTAAATTATTGCTTTTGTAGATATTAATAACTACAGAAGAATGCATTACCATTCATATTACACATATAGAGCACAATTTTTCATATCTCTGGTTGTGTACAAAGTATATTCATACCATTTGCATCTTTATACATGTACTTAGGGTAATGATATTCGTCTCATTCCACCTTTTTCCCCACCTGCTTTCCCCTCCTACCCCTTTGCCCTATCTAGAGTTCATCTAATCCTCCCATGCTCCCTGTCCCAACCCCATTATGAATCAGCCTCCTTATATCAGAGAACACATTTGGCATTTGTTTTTTAGGAATTGGCTAACTTCACTTAGCATTATATTCTCCAACTCCATCCACTTACCTGCAAATGCCATGATTTTATTCTCTTTTATTGCTAAGTAATACTCCATTGTGTGTATATACCACATTTTCTTTAGAGAGTGGATTGCTTTTGAAGGATACAGATTTGTCCTGATAACTTTTTCAGTTCGTTTGCATTAGTTTAGCAATTTATTATTTTTTAAGTCTCAGAAGTTATATAAAACAGTTAAGTGACCCATAATCATTTATTTTAATTACTTTAGAAATATGTATTCTTAATTACAAAAGTAATAGATAATCCTTTAACAGAAATTCATATGGTATATATCCCTTGTACCCCTACCCCATCCCACCCAGAAGTAGAGGTTAGAAATACTTTTAACTATATCCATTCCAGACATATTTCTGTGTGTACACAAACATACCTAGACATTTCTCTCTCTTTCTTTTTAAATTTGGTAATTTTTTAAAAAAAATTATTAGTGCATTATAGTTATACATAGTAGTTGGGTTCATTTTGACAAAATCATATATGCATGAAGTTTGATTTCAATCCCTTTCCCCCATTTTCCCTCCCCTCCTTCCTCTCCTATTCTCCTTCTTCTACTTAGCTGATCTTGCTTTTGCTTGTTTATTTATTTTTGATTAGTACTTTCTACATATACATAAAGGTGAAATTCCCTGTGGTACATTTATATATGCACATACATGATCTTATTGAATTCATTCCATATTTCCTCCTTTTTCACCCCTCCTCCCTCCCTATTGAACTGCTACTCCACTGATCTTCCCTATGTCTTTGTGATATCTGATCCATCCACCCCCACCTTCTTTCCTTTATTTTGCTTTAGCTTTCACATATAAGAGAAAATATTCACACCTGGATTTTCTGAATCAGGCTTATTTCACTTAGCGTGATATTCTCATTTCCATCCATTTACCAATAAATGTCATAATTTCATTATTTTTTTATGGCTGAATAAAACTCCATTGTGTATATGTACCACATTTTCCAGAAATTCATTTATTTATGGGCATCTGGGCTAACTCTGTAATTTAGCTATTGTGAATTGTGCTGCTATAAATATTGAAGTGACTATACAGCTATAATATGCTGATTTTAGTTCTAATACCAAGGAGTGGGATAGCTGAGTCATATTGTGGTTCCATTCCAAGTTTTTTGAGGAACGTCCATACTGCTTTCCAGAGTGGTTGTACTAATTTGCAGTCCTACCAACAAACATTTCTCTTAAAAACAAAACAAAACAAAAATTCCAGAAATACTGTTTTACCATTTTCTTTTCTTATTTTGTGATATGCCATGGAAACTTTTCATGTCAGTACATTTGGATCTAGACATTATACTTTTTAATGGGTGCAGAGTACTTCCTGATTGATTTGACTATGAGTTATTTTAATAACTAACCCAATACTAATGGATATTTAGGTTGTTTCAGTTCTTTTTATTGCAAAGTATGCTGCAATAAACATTTTTATATTTTAATATTATTTTATAAATATTTCTTTAGGATTGGTTGAATTCATAGAAGTGTGGGAATAGTGAGTCAGATAGTATGTACAGTTAATAATTTGAGAGATATGTACATGTATGACTATGAAACACTGAATCCCACTATTATGTATAATTAAAATGCACGACTAAAATTATGGAAAAATAATTTGAGAGAGGATATCAAATTATTCTTTTAAATCCTTTTAATTTGGGGGGGTACCAGGGATTGAACTTGGGGGCACTCAATCACTGAGCCACATCCCCAGCCCTATTTTGTATTTTATTTGGAAACAGGTCTCACTGAGTTGCTTAGTGCCTTGCTGTTGCTGAGGCTGGCTTTGAATTCACTATCCTACTGTCTCAGCCTCCCGAGCTACTGGAATTTCAGGTGTGCACCACCATGCCTGGCTCTTTTTAGATTTTTGAATAATATTTAGTTAAAAAATAGTTGCATCTTGTTTAAATTCTTTAAAGGAATTAATGAATAAATAGCATTTTGAGTTTTTTAATAAGAGCTACCATAGACCATTTTTGTATGTACATATGATATAGAGCTGGGTACAGCAGTCCATGCCTGTGATCCCAGTGACTCTGGAGGCTGAGGTAGGAGTATCACAAGTTCAAGGCTAGCCTTAGCAAATTAGCAAGGCCCTAAGCAACTTAGCAAGACCCTGTCTGAAAATAAAAAAAAATAAAAAGGGCTAGGGATGGACTGGGGATATAGCTCAGTTGGGCCCTGGGTTCAATCCCCAGCACCACAAAAAATAAAGGGCTAGGGATGTGGCTTAGTGGTGAAGTGCCCCTGCCTTAAATCTCCAATACCCACCCACAAAAAAAAAAAATGATATAGAGCTGGTGTGGTGATGAATGCCCTTAATCCCTCCAACTCAGGAGACTAAGAAAGGAGGATCACAAATTTGAGACCAGCCCCAGCAACTTGAGGCCCTAAGTAAATTTTGAGAAAAAAATATAAATTTTTAAAAGGGGCCTGGGGATGTAGTACAATATTTCAATCCCTATTACAAGAAAAAACAATAATATGATATCGAAGCTGGTTTAAACTTGGTAGTGTACATGTGTAACAGTGACTACAGAAAAGTTGCATTGTCAAGTCACAGTATACTGTTTTCATTTAAAAACATTCTTTTTCCCCCACTCTTCCTACATTTTCCCTAGTCCTCAGCTTTCCCAAATTAAAAGTTTTAGTCTAAATGGGAATGGAGAAAGTATTCTGAGAACCAGTGGGGTAAGATCAAAGGTAAATTCAGATTATTTCCTGGATTAAAGAGATGGAATTTTATATCAGTGAAATGTCTTTTAATAATAATTTTTCTTTTTAAGATTTGGAAAATTTAGAGAGCTATTCATTATGATATGGTTTTACTCCCCTCATTCAGGCAAAGGAAAAATTGATATTCAAGCATACCTAAGTCAGTGGCAAGATGAACTTCTTAAAAAAGAAGAAAACATTAAAGATTTACCAAGAATGAATCAGGTATAGTATTTTCAAGAGAAAAACTCTCAGTTCTTATATTTTTGTATGAATATGAATGTAACCAACTCCAAAATAGCTAATATGCTTTTACAAATTAGTTATATAATCTTGTATGTATCATCTCTTTAAGTTTCAGGTCAACATAGAAGAGGAGAATATTTTTCAATGATTTTTTTTAAGAACTCAGACTGGCATGATGGCACATGCCTGTAATCCCAGCAGCTCAGGAGGCTAAGGCAGGAGGATCTCAGTTCAAAGCCAGCCTCATCAACTAAGGAAGGCCATAAGCAACTTAGAGAGACCCTGTCTCAAGATGAAATATAAAAGAATGGCTGGGGATGTGGCTTAGTGGCTATATATACCTGGGTTCAATCCCTGGTACAAAAAAAAAAAAAACTTACATTTTTTACTTTAATGAACTTAAATGTTTCAGATAGGACCTTTGCTATGACAAAATTTGTACCCACAGGAAAAAAAAATGTGTAACATGTTTTCAGCTTTTTCGGAAATGTTAATTTATCTAGTAAACATGATTTTTAGTTCCTACTATATGCCAAGCCCATTGCTACTTACTGGGAATAAGAAATTACAAAAATAGGTCACACATTGGTTTCTAATGATCTTGTATTTGAACATTCCCTAGATAATACTAATGATTACTTTTGATACAATTTTAAATTCATCTCTTTCTTATTCACTGTTTATCCAGAACGTTCTTATATTTTTAAAATTAAAATCTAGTTGATATAGATATTGGAAATCCCCAGAACTTTACCAAAATGAGAACTGTCAAATAACTTAGTGTTTCTCCATGGACTACATAATCTGGCCATTAAATAAATACTTTTTTAAATGAGTCAGTATGAAATATTTATTCTAAAATTACTATAAATGAACAATATTGTAGACTAAGGAAAACAAGCATTTGTTACAATATATTTTATGAAGTGCACCCTTTGTGTTTGCTTTTTGTTTACAGATGAACTTTTCTGGTTAAGTGATTGACTTATAGGACATTTGTGTTGGAATAACTTTTTTTAATTGATGAATGTTTCCAAGAACTGTTTTTTAGATGTTCTAGGGACAAATAGCAGTCCAACTAGTTTCTCTCCACTTTGGCATTTAAAGAGAAGTATGGGGCTGGGGCTGGGGCCCAGTGGTAGAGTGCTTGCCTAGCATGTGAGAGGCACTGGGTTCTATTCTCAGCACCACATACAAATAAATAAAATAAAGGTCCATCAACAACTAAAAAAAAAGAGAGAAGTATGTCCAAATAGGTTCCTTAGAGCCACTAGATAGGTTCCAAAAGTCATTCTTCCCTAAATTGTAGTTATTTTAGCTAAGCTGCCCACTCTTGCCCCTTGAGGAGATCAAATGGAACTTGTTCTTAATCCTTTTGTTAAGATTGGTTAATGAATTAATGATTTACATGTAGGGAAATACGGGACTTTCTTTGCCTAATGAAAAGTGCTTTTTAACAAAGTAATAGTGATACACAAACTGTTAGGTCTAGACATAATATACTGCTATTATACAATAATCAAGAAGGCTTAAATGAAATTCTTTTATGGTTCATATCAGCTTTCTAGAGTCACAATTTATTTTGGGATTAATCATCAGTTCTAGAGTGAAGGATACATGCTATAAATTCTGTATAGGAGATTATCTAATGATTACTTTTGACACGGTTTTAAGTTCATCTAAGTTCACTTTATACTTGCTAACCTAACATTAAAATGTTATATTTGTAACTTGTGTCTTCTAGTCACAATTTATTCAGTTTTCAAAGACCCTCTATAATTTATTTCATGAAGACCCTGAAGAAGAGTTATTATATCAAGCCATTGCTGTTGTAACCAATCTTTTGCTCAGGATGGAGGAAGTTGGAAGGAAGCTACATAGCCCTACATCACCAGCAAAAGAATTCCCTGGTACAGTCTCTGCTTCTGGAGGACCCATAAAGGGAGAAACTGAGAGCCACATGGAGAAAGATCCCTCCTCTCTTAGGGAAGAACCTCAGTGGTCATTTGCATTTGAACAGATTCTTGCGTCTCTGTTGAATGAACCAGCCTTGGTGAGGTTTTTTGAAAAACCCATAGATTTCAAAGCCAAACTAGAAAATGCAAAAATCTCTCAGTTAAGGTCTAGGACCAAAATGTAAGTTTTTCAGCATCATAGTCAAGTTTACCAAGATTCCTGTAGCTGTATCCCTTAGCTAAATTCCTGGGAGTTGAGATCAGGGATTTATTGTTGTTACAAATATGCTTGAAAACAAAAAAGAGAAAGATACTCAGAAGCACAATAATATATCCCTTTGTGATCTCAAATTTTGATATTCTCAAATATGATTATTCTTTTTATATTTCAGAAGATATGCAATATAACCACCAGAGGGCACCATAACATTTTTAGTAGAAATTACTAGCTGGTACTGCTTTATACATGTGATTACTGATGATTTTTAAAAGGTGGTATTATGTTTATTGGTGATTCTGACATATCATTTTGATAAACCCTGTTTTCCAAATTGCCTCAGTACTATTAGAATTCTTTAGAAAACTGGGCTTTTAGATCTATAACCTTAATTATCTACAAGAATACCATTTAGGGGCCTCATTTTCCAGCTAACTAATAATTAATATGTTTTTAAAGTTTATTACATTCAATTTGAGTGATTTCATTCAATCATTCATAACAGTATGATTTGTTAGTAACTTCTACATTCTCTCTACATGGGGTGGGTATTCAGAAGCTGCTGATTCATACCACTAACTCTATTACTGATCAAAACAATTTCAAGAATTCTAAACTCTGAGCTGATATATAAAGAAAAACAATTATATTTGGATTTGAACTGGATAAAGCCAGCCTTTAGAAAAGGGTTAAGAAACAGGTCTCTCATTAACCAGAGAAATTACTAGAAATTCTCCAAAATACTGCTGTTTGTGGCATTTATTTCATAATAGTTTGTGATTATTTGGTTCTAGCTCTAGATTTTGGATTTTTCAACAGTCTTGTTTTAATTTATGTTAGATAGTAAAGAATAGTTACACTAAAACTGAACTGTTTTATTAATCTGGCAAGCATATAAGTATACTTGCTTGCCAAAATAATGTATGGAATTACCAGTGTCTATCTAAAAGGTTTTGACTATCTAATGTAAATGTGCAATATCTATATACTTTATGCTGCTTAAATTTCACTACATGACAGTCCATTTAGAGACATAATGGACTTTGTTAGCACTTTAAAAAAACAAAACAAGCAAACCACACTTTTCCATTCTTCTGTTCTATTTATGACAATAGTAATTTATTCATCAGTTGGCTTAGGAAGTGGAGAAATCAACCAGTGGAGCTTATTTCATTGGTTTTAAACTCTTTGACTTTTCTAGATGTGAAACAATAAAGGGCAAACCACTTTTAGAGTGCGCCAAGAAGTCTCCCTTTCTCAAAAGGAAATGGTAGAGTCAGTCTTTGGCAAGAGTCCACTGTGAACAAAGCCTAACAAAGAGGAGTTTGTCACCATAGAATTTGTTGTCTTCAGAAAAGTTAAATAATTTTCAAGGTGAGACTTTGAAATTCATAAGTTAGTTTTGGCCAGAAGTTTATTAGTAGTGTCTTTTATTACTATGATTGGATAACTTTGTCTTTTCAAGGAAATTACGAGTTAAAGAGATAGTTGGTAAATAAGCATATATGCTTTTACTCAGAAATTATTTGAAATCTGTCCAAAATTTAAAGCTTAGTAGTTTATTTCAAAACTCACACATCTACTATTATGCAATGATTGTTAAATTATACTACAATAGCTCTAGAAAGACAGTCTATGCTTATATACAAAGACAATATTATACATACTGTTGAATATTTTGTCAGTTATATTTACAAAAATACTTTCTTAAAAGATATGTTATTAGTATTTGATATTATTTTAAATTTAGAATAGTGAAGATTATTGAGTATTGTATTTTAGCATAGATTAATCAAAATGAATATTTAAAGAGATTTTTAAGTTGAAGTAAGAGTATAAATTAAAGTTTAAAAAATTATTTCCTGAGTATGCAGGAGAAACAAACTGAACCTATAGTTTTATAGCTAATGCCTTGTTAAGAAAATGAGTTGTTCTTAATATAAAAAAAATCTTACGTAGTGTGTCAAACTGAACCAATGCATTATATCTTTTACATTAAATGTGATAAGGTGGTTTTACTTGTCTTTATAAAAATAAATATTATAAATCTATTATATTAAACATGAAAATTGTTTACTTTTAGAGATTAATATTATTTACTATGATGTGCTTTATTTACATTTAACGCAAATTTATCACTTGAGGACTTCCCTGCTGTATCTATTAGGGTCAGTCTCAAGAACAGAATTCACTCTTAGTCTAAGCAAGAAAAGATTTATTATTGGGCATTAAATGACTTAAATAATTATTCAAAGTACTGACTAAATTGAGCTTTTAAAAACAAGTTTCAAGGGGTGGGATTGTGACTCAGCGGTAGAGTGCTCGCCTAGAACATGCAAGGCCCTGGGTTTGATCCTAAACACCACATAAAAATAAATAAAATAAAGCTATTGTGTCTAACTACAACTAAAAATATATATTTTAAAAAATAACAAGTTTCAAAGCCACACCACTACCATGCCACAGGGGAGTTACTATTCTATCATTAGAAAACTACTGTTTCCTACTGCCAGAATGAAAAGCCATCACTACTGCTACTACTACCAATACCATGCTCCACCTGCTCTGATTTACACCAGTGAAATAAATGCCTATCCCCTGTCTCTCAGCACCCACAAGCTAGTGACTATACTAAAGTAGGGCAGCCAAACATCATCAACAACAGAGATGGCTGAAGCATAGTCCCGATCTCACTTTTGCTACTCGAGTTTCACATGTAAGCATCTTTTTGGCCTGTAATGAAGCCAAAATCATAATTACCAAGGAATCTGAGAAATGCAGTTTTAGCACTTTAGCCTCTGCAATACAAGAAAGCACACTAAGAGGATAAAGTGAAGACATAGAGAACTGTTTTTTTATTGCTGCATAAAGAATTAGCATAGCACATTTATTGTCTCACCATTTCAGTGGGTCAGGACTATGGGCTCAACTTAGCTAGGTCCTCTGCCTAGGATTTCACAAGGCTGCAACCAAGATGTCAGCTAGGCTAGTTCTCATGTAGAGGCTCAACAGAGGAAGAATGCACTTCCAAACTCACTCATGCTGTTGGCAGAATTTACTTCCTTATTGATACGTTCTGGAGGCACCAGCTTCTTACTAGTGATTGAGTGAAAGCTGCTTTCAGCTCCTAAAGGCTTCAGTCAATTTCTGGAAGTTGCCCTCAGCTTCTGCAAGCTGCCCATACTTATTTGCCATGTGGGCTTCCCCAAAATGGCCACTTCATCCAGCCAGCAAGGAGAGTCTCTCAATGCCACTTCATCCAGCCAGCAAGGAGAGTCTCTCAAATAAGTCCATCACAAGAGTATTATAATGTAACATTCACAGTGGTGAGACACCATCCTCTTGCCCTCTTCCATTGGTTAAAGACAAGTTACAGATCTCCCCTCACTCAAGGGGAAAGGATTACAGAAAAATATGAACATTAGGAGAGAGATCATGGGACGAGTGGTCCATAGAGTCTTATTAACCACAAGCACCAATCTTCGTCATCTGTTATTCACCTTTTCACCTTACAATACACTTTTTTCATGCTTCTTTTTGGTTTTTTGTTTTGTTTTGTGAAACAGGGTTTCGCTATGTTGCCCAGGCTGGCCTCAAACTAGTGATCCTCCTGTCTTAGGATTCTGAGTAGCCAGAATCACAGGTGTGCACAACCACGCCCCACTTATTTCCCAGACTTCTAAATAATAGCTAGTAGCAACAGCAGCTTATTCCTCTCATAACATAGATCCCCCTCCTGTAAACAAAAGTACACTAATCTCTCCTAAGGAAAGATCCAGGTTTCTATCAGTTACTTGAATCCAACCACAGATGTTCATTCTTCCTAATTTAGTCTCAATCCCATCTTGGTATCCTATAATGTGTGGGCTAAATTGCAAAGTTAATTATCATCAACTCACCATATATAAAATAGTAGAGGAAAAGCAGATAAGCAAATTGATTATCATAAATAAATATGTACTTCAAAGAGACAGAAAGAAATGGTATCTTCTACAGTTCTCATTTTGGCAACTGATCATGAGGCTCTCTCAATGTGGGTTTTTTTCCTAATCATACCACAATTCAACTTTTTGGTGTACATTTCTATGAATTTTAATGCAGGTTTAACCATCACAGCAATTAAAATACAGAATAGTTCCATCATCCTGAAAAACTGCCTCAGGCCATCCTATTACATACTCTGTTCCTAATCAACCACTGATTAGTTCTTTGTCTTCCTTATGAAAGACCAGATGTTTGCTTTCCCTACATCCCTGATCCTTACAGCCATGTGACCAAGGAATGGTTAATCATGCACTTCTACCTGGAATTTCTCAATCTGTAGCAAGCAGAGGAACAATAGAGAATATAATATATTCTGGTAGCTGTGGTGTTATTTGCACATCAACATTCTAGTTCTGAGGTAGGAGTTAAGAGTGGTTCGAACACCAAGACTTAATCCCCTCTCCCTTTTTTAGGAGGAGTATTTTAGTATTTCAGTAAGTGATAGAGTCAGTGAAGTGTTTGCTTTTATTAGCTGGCATCTGTTTCTTTGGCTTCAAGTATACTGATACATGTGACACTGGGGACTCTGTAGCACCAGATCCCTCAAGGCAAGGTAATTTTTTCCAGCAGATACATTCCCAGGCATATAATCACCAGAAAAAGTGCATTTTAATTTTTAGATCACATTATGCTTCAGTTTTCATTTTGGTTCCCAGAACTACATCTTTCCTCCATCCCATCAAGCAATAGATTTTCTAGGTCTTAATTCTACTTGTCTTCCTTTGCAGATAGTGACTTTTCTTTATGGATGCTTTTAAGATCTGGACCTTTCCAGTGTTCTGAAGTTTATTATGAATTGTCTAGCTTTTAAAAAATCTTATTTGGGATTAATAATTACATTTTGATAATTGACTATCATTCTCCAAGATCTGTCCACTTTCTGCACAGCCTAAATAGGCAAGTTACATGAAGATGTGGTTCAAATCAACCCCACCTCCCATATATACATTTATTCTTTGGAGATTCAGGGTGCACACATGTTTTTTGGTTTTTTGGTATGAGGGATTGAACTCAGGTGTGTTTTACAACTGAGCTACATTCCCAGCCATTTTTATTTTTTATTCTGAGACAAGTTCTCGCT